TTCCGTGCGTGATTTTCCTCGTCAGCTCGTTTCCGCTGGAATTCGGAGAAACGCCGGAACCCGGATGGTCTCAGCATCTGGTTTCAGGCTTTCACCTCCATCCCAGTCGGTGTTCTTTGACGCTCAGCTCCAGCCAGTTAGCAGCCCTTTAATTATGCGGCGACACGACAAACCACTTGGAGCTCAGAGTCCCTGTTTCTGTTACGCAACCCCCACCCCCTCACACGCAATTACATTTATATACCTCAATTATTTATGCATCTTTCCCAAGTGGTGGAGTGTGACAGCTCTCTGTGAGTCTGTGCTGTGGATGTGCGTATGTGCTCACGGTGCACAGTGTCACACATGATGTCTGTTTACTTCTTGTTAGGCCTGATAAAACTCAACGTGCGACACGCCGTTCAGAGCGAATGCGGTCGCTCTGTAAAGTGTAACGCGCTCAGGCATTTGATTATATGGGCTTTTAAAAGCGATGCTCTTTTGTGAGGAATATCTCTCCAAACAAATCGCAACGGCATCGCTAACGTCTGTTTGCCACAGAGTTTATTTCCTACAGTATTTTGAAATCTAATTGAAAAATCCCGGCGGTTTAGTTGTTGATGGAGTGCGATTTTAAACTCTGGGCTTGAAATGTACAAAGTAGATAAAGAAGCAAAGCATGAAAACAAATTCACTCAGAGCAAATCATGAAAATGTACAGAATATGGAAAATGGAAGAAACACGGTGGAATGAAGATTTCCAGACAGTTCTAATCCCTCCTTAAGGGTTCAGTCCGGTTTGAGACTCAAACCTTGTTCACAGTGTTGGCCAGAATAAAGGCTCAAACTGAGCAACCGTAGCAGACTTTCAGTAATTGCTCTCAAGAGGCTGGTCGCGGGATTTTGGTCTAATGGTAGAGTGGATGTAATCCTAAAATCATGCCAATTAAATGATATCAAAGGAATATATTGGAAGGAATCATCAAGGCTATAAGGCTTATGTGCACAGCCCCGGCCGGCTGCCCACAACAGCACGGCAGCGCTCCCGCTCCTCCTTGTTTTCCGACGCAGCCCCGGTTGGACGGGATTAGCGGGCTTTGATGGTCGTGTTGGTCACTTTTAATCATACAGGTCCAACAGGATTACTTGTAGCCCGTCATGACACGGGGACAGCCAGCCCTGTCGGTGTCCTCCTCCGCTGACGCCAGTTCTCGTCACTGGCGGGAGTACGCGTGGGACGAGCGGGCCTCTTTTTGGGTCACTGGGTGAAGTTGGTTTGACACACACAGTATGATTTATATCATGAACGCTGTATCCTGAATTTGCTTTGTAGTAGGTCATCGGTTAGTTTTCCGGAGAGATTCGCTAACGGCTCGCGGAGGAAAAATCTACGGTGGCCCTGAAGTGCAAAACACAGCGGCAAATAGGAACGCACGACGCAAATAGGAAAACTACAACGACATTAACTCCTTACGGAAAGGGTACGGCCTTATAGCAGCGGACAGACCCTTCGGATTGGACAGACGGACTGTCTGTCCTTTAACAGGAAATGACACGCACTCCCGCCACACATCCAATTCCTCACGCCAAGGAATCGGACTCCGGTCCCCGAGCCATGCCGGCCATAGCGTCCCGCGGCACCCCCACACCTTTTTTTAACTTTTATTTACAACACCTAAATATAATTGAACAAGAAAACCGCGGTAAAACAATGGTAGGACACTTTTAAGACACTCGTAAAACGTCGCCATCTCTCCGTGACTTTCTGCTGCGGCTCTCCTGCTGCATCACTTCCCCTCCTCATCACAGGCTCTCAGTCCCCCCACTGACTTATTGATTGACAGAATATCTTGATTGACAGAATATCTAGAATGCAGCATTTCTCAGATTTCAAAATAGTTAAGGAGTCACGGTAATTTGAATCCTCCATGTCACTTTCCGTCGCTGGCTAAAGGCTTCGGGAGAGTCCACCTGTCCAATCAGAAGGGTCCGTCCTCTGCTTCCTGCTATAAGGCCCGACCCTTTCCGTAAGAAGTTAATGTCGTTGTGTTTTCCTATTTGCCGTTGTGTTTTGCACTTCAGGGCCACCGTAAAAATCTGACCACGCGCTGAAATAATCCGAAGCTAAACAACAACTACTACAAAACAAACGCGTAGGGTTGGGGGCTGCGTCAGACAGCTCCCTCTGGAGCTGCGACAAGCGTTACACAGCATGTGTCGGAAGTACTCCCCCAAGGCCCATTTCGATGTTGGGTTCCCCCTCCTGTTCGGGCACAAGCTGCCTGCAATGGCAGCGGTTTGAACCCCCAATCACAGCCACGCCCCCTGTGGTGCCAGCAGGCTCCTCCCCTAATCCCACAGTGGCGGCCCCCAAAGAGAATGCTTTGTGGAAAACCTGACAATGCTTTACAGCAGCTTTTACACCTGCTAACTGTCCTGTTTGGACGTATGTTTAGGGTGATGAAGCCTTCTGAATTTGTGAAAAATCGTATTTGCACCTTTTAAGTGGTGGCTTCTAGCTGCGACTCGGGGATATTGTAGAGGTCAGAGCCAACAAAAATTGATGTTGTCAGAAATAAAACATCTTCTTAAATAGGTTTGGAAAAATAGCAATATTTCAAGGTCTAAGACATATTGGTTGTTTGAAAAAGCGCCTGGTAAAAACCTGGAATTGAAAAAGAGATCTAAATGTGGGTCTTAAAGTGTGCTGAGGCGAGCACACACATTCAAACAAAGTCTGAGTAAATCCGGGGGAAAGCTGGGTGAAACAAGCCAATTACTCTCTCCCTCTGTTTCTGTTCCCTTTGTTTCCTCCCTGCTCAGTTTTGTTCCGTTACCCTTCATGATGTCTCAAACAAGTCCTTAAAAGGCCCTTGGCGGCCGAGTTAAAGTCCCCCGGAACAGTAAAACTGTATTAAAGTGAGTGATGGTGGCTGTGTGTAGAACGGCGGAGAGCGCAGGAAGGACAATCCGCTGAAGAGCATAATGTCTCCAGGATCCCATTAAGATCACCTCATTGCTCGGTTTACCCAAAAGGAGTTGGCTTTTCTGCGTGTGCATGTTCCCCCTCGACACACGCCCCAAAAAGCTTCCCCACTCGGGACGGAGACACAGTGTCCGAGGAGAAAGCCTGTTGTGTTTGGGTGTCCCTCGCGAGGGGGCTTTCTTATTTCCGTTTACATCCCTCAGTACACTGACTGACTGACTGAAAATTAAAGTTTCATGTTGGCATTTGGACGAGAGGAGGAAAAAGGATCCAAAAAAAAGAGTTCAGCAGAAGTGGGGGAAAAAGTACGAGAAGAAAGAAAGAAATGCAAGTGGTGAAGATGAGAGAGCGGCGCACCCACAGCGAGAACGTGAAGTGTTTACAGGACGAAGATCTCTGTGCTCCTCCGGCTACCCCATGCCTCGCTCGCCGACACACCGCCATCGCAGCTAATCAGCCAATCAGGCCTCTTAGACAGAATCCAGCCGTGGTTGGCTGATTAACCGAGCTCATCAACACGCCACCCGATGCGACTTCAAACGCAAAGGCACAGTGTGCAAATTACTGAGTTTATCCTGTAGTGTGTGTGTGTGTGCACATATGCATAATATATGCATGCATTTGTCATCTTCTTTGCATTTGTGAGTCTGTGTGGGCAAAGTTTCACATATTAAAAGTTCCACCACTGTAAAAAGAAGTTATGTTGTGTTTGTGTGTAATCACCATCTGAGCACAAAGCCAAACGTTATGAATATCCCATACAATTAAATCACACCTGTATGTCCAATGCTGTTGGTAAAGGGTTATATTCTTTATCGTAGAGAGCACATGTTTTTAATTTTTTTCACAACATAAAATAAATGGATTGAAATGTTGCTTGCATAGGAAGCACAGGAAGCCTAAAACTTACAGCTGACTGAGCTCAAGAGGTGGCACGATGTTCCTGGAGAATAGAGCTCTCCTTTAGAAAAAAAGCTCTTTCCCTCATTGCGTTTTCTCTCCCCTCGGTCCCGGGGATGACTGCGGCCGAATCCCGGGATAACATTTCAGAGCACATCCGTGAAAGTATAAGATTAGTATGCTGAAAGGGGAACACTTTTCACTCAAAACAGTGCTGCATACAACTGAACTGAGGAGTCACCCTGCAGCTTCTCTCGCTATTGGCTGCAGTGGCTGCTGCGGCACTTCCACTCACAGGATTTTCCACAGTTGCCTCTATCTATTACGCGCATCTCCTTCCTGTCGTCCCTTCATTCATCCCCCTCTCCATTATCGCTGGGAGTTTCCCACGTAGCAGGGCCCGAAGGATATTTATTTCATGTCTAATTAGCTTGGAAGAAGCGCAGTCCGGAGATGCCGTGGCGATGAAAGCTAACGTCCTCTCACAGCAGAGAGGCCAAAGAGGCGCCGCCCGAGCTGCGAGAGCGAGGAGCACGTAACAGAAGCGCAGGTTATTTGATTCAAGTGGAGCGAGCCACAGGCCCTTTCTCATGGCGCCTCCAGAAAGCTGAGTGAGGTTTGGTCGTATTCCCCATCGGTGAAGGCGAAACACGTCCTAAAATTTTCATTTCATCGTTGTATTTTCAAGCGCTTTACCAAAGGCAGCTATCAGGACTTAATAATACACAAACTCTTTTAAGCCTCGATTATGACTCGGATTGCCTCTGCGGTGTGAATGAGGCAATCTAAGCAATTACAGGCTTTTTTATTGATCTGTTGTTCTTTCTTCATGATCAATTCATCAAGTCCGCGAAGGTACAAAGGTTCACAGCTACAGGCCGTGTTCATTTTCATTGCTGTCATTTCCAATAATCTAAAACATTTTCTTCATTATGGATCAATAGTCCCCGCTCCGTGTTTGATTATGATTGCCAGATGAACAAATGTATCACTTAACAGGGGGAATGTGGGGTCTATATAGAGTACCGTCTACGCGTGTGTTGCGTAATAAGATGATGATTTGACACTTATATGAAGAAATTGAATTGAATGAATGACTCGCTCATCCCTTCTGCTTCTGTGTCGTCCCCTCCAGATTTGTTCCTGACAACTGAGGGGCCTAAGTTTGAGACCTGGATCAGCAAGGTAATTGACTATTTCAGACCTGTTTTTGCCTCGTTTTCTTTTCACGAGTGCGGTGGGGGCCGAGCAGCCGGGGCTGAGTCACTGCAGCCGAGCAGTAGGAGGCGTGACCCCCGTGGGTTTGCCGCTGTGCAAAGTCAAGTCATTGTTTTCATGTCTCTTAGTCATCATACTCTCTCTTTTGTAATAAAACATCACATTGCTGTATTTGTCATTGCAGGGCTCTTGGGTAAAGTTTATGATGTTGCTGAAATATTTCTGCCACAGTGTACGGACAAAGTTACCACGTCCCCTAATGGTGTTTAAAATGGCTCGTTTGTTAAACCAACAGTCCAAATCCCCCAAAATGTAATCGGAACATAAGCTATAAAGGAACATGCTCTTTTAGATTTGTTATATGACCAGCAACTATTTGATTTCATTGAGTTCATTAAATAACTCTGAAGCATAAAAGGTTCATTGAAAACATTTGCTGCAAAAGTTTTTATGAGCGACTTTTATGAAATAAATGGAAAGGGCTGTAAAGTTGGCTTTCTCCAGATAATCAGTGATGCAACAAATTCTTTACTTTTACAACGGATCCTACACTGGAGTTAAAGAAACCCAACACACATGAGGAATTTTGTTATTTTTTAAAGAAATAGTGGGAACCAAAGTAAATAGCTTCTAGCTGAACATGGAGTATTAAATCCCCTTTAGCCTAAAATATGCGCGTTACGTTTCCGTTCTTTGCATGTTTACAATCACTTGATCTCAGCCATCGTTCATCCATTGAGTCCATTCAGTTGGACCCACAATATGGTCCATGAAAGACATGTTGAAATCAGTGTGTTATGTGTGCACGTACTACCAAACGCATCTCCCAAGGACCACCGCAGCCCGCCGTCCATTCCCTCGGTGCAACAAACAGCTCAGCAGGGCGTTGGGGGGTTCGTGGGGTGCAGGAACGTTAGCCTTGCCCCAGGATTAGTTAATATTCTGGGAGGGCAGAGAGAGAGGAGACCGCGGCTCTGGGTTTTTTGTCAAAGAGGTCTACTTGAAATTCAGCAGTTCGAGGCACAAGCTGAACAGTAGTCTATCTTATCACAGAGGGGGGGGGCGGGGGGATAGAACAGGGTGGGGGGGACCGAGAGGGACTGAAGGATTTGGCGGAGGCAGTGTGTGTATTAGGGTGGGCCGAGACCAAGACATGGTATAGACCTGCCTGACTCCACTGGCCTCCTTACTTTAACTCTCGCACCTCCATGAGGCACATGAGACCATTTATTAGAATGTTTCAATGCTTATCTGATGGTACAGGCGTTCATGTTCCCCAGAGGATGAATTGTTTCTGCGTGCCTTTCACACCTCCTTGCGTGTGTCGACCCATTTTTCTAAGCTACGCAAGCCTCCCGCAGCGCACCAGGCTGTGATTGGTCCGCCAACCACGTCCTTTACGGAGTCTCACATTTCCGCTTTCATAGCCCGATACCCTCATTATTAAAACGAAGAATGTTTACGAGAGAACGGATCAGATTTAACAACCATGAATTAAAACGAGTGCGTCGACCCAACGACGCAAACGCATGCGCCAGCCTTAAGTCTCTGTAAGGCAACCGGTTATCTCCTTAATCTAAACTTGTGATCATATATTTTTGAAGAATTCGTGTTTGGCTTTGTGCCATCCAGTCCTCCTAATTCATTCTTCATCTTGTATTATTGTACTCGTGGGATGGGTCAATATGTAATTTAATTGATTGCTAACGCTTCAATGTCTGGTTTAAGTGTTCCATTTTTTAATCCTCCGTATTTTTCCTCTCCCCCTTTCCTTTAACGCAGACGCAAAGGCTCACAGACATTCGATCTGGAATAAATTCCAAAACATTGTTCCTCCAAACACACCTGACATGCACACGCACAAACTCATAAATACATATGCACAAACAGGCATTATCCCAGCACCCCGTGTGCATCAGACCCCTTTTTAATCCGCCGCTGGCATTCGGTTGAACGCGGCTTCATCTATCGGTCACAGGCCAGTGCTGCTCGTTCTCACACTCTGTTTTAATTACTTTTCTATGTTTTCTCCAACCCGCCCGTTCCTCTGCTTTCCTGCGATTATAGAAGGTAGTCACAGTGGGGAGGTGGGGAGGTGCGAGAGACAACAAGCTGCAGTGATGAGTGAGTAAAGAAGTGCCTCCATCGGCCTTTGAGTAGAGCCACGGTGTTTAAAGCTCCGATACAAGTGTTCGAATTATTTGTGAGGGAGATATGGGACATGGTCGCATGCACAGATAGTACGCAGCGGTAAAGCAACGCGGCGGCTTCTCTCTTCGGCCATCCACTTTCAGCACACGAGCAGGCTTAGAGGGATACGGATGTTAGTGTGAACATGCATAATTCTATGCAAACTATTTCACAGTGTAATTTTAAAACACTTTTTTTTTTCATTCCAAAGGAAAACAATGACATGTCCTCCTGCAAAATCGCTAATTTCATGCTAATTTGATGTTGCGCTAACGGTTACAAATGTTCCCTCTGGCCTCTAAAGCATAATATGCACATAATAGAACGTTTTTACGAGCTTAAATTAGCCCTTACTTTATATAGGGCAGTAAAATACCTCAACCGTATGGAAGCTTATTTAAATAGATGGATACACGTGTAGATATACTTTTGTCTCTGTGATGGCGTCATGTGATTTTTGGCATAGAGTTGACGTTACTCGACAGCATAATATATGTTTTGTTCACAAGCTACTGTGGGAAGTTTATCCTAGCTACTGTAGCATATACATGAAATAATTATACACAAATCAGGGATCCAACCCGTAGTCCCATTGTGCCAACCCCCAGTTTATCCCGCACATTTGACGTTTGTACCCAGCACTAGAACAACCGCACCACGTTTACTCTGTAGCCCCCCTGCTCCTTCTGCTGTGCATACCAGTGTGTCACTCCACTGAAGTGTGTGACTGTGGGCGTGGATGTTGGTGTGTGTGTGTTTTGGGTGTGATGTGAACAGATGCAAAGAATAATAGCGAGACATGTAATCCTTTCATCTTCACACATCAATCAGCTGCTCTCAAGCTGTCACACACGTCATAGTTTTAATCATGACATCCAGCAATCAGGCAGCCAGCAGCAGTCAATCGCACACAGATCTCGACCCTCAGTGCGCACAGTTAGCACCCCGTTGCCACATCTGTATGAGTGTGTGTGCGTTTGGAAGCTGGTGATCTAATTAACATGAGTTGATACTGCACAATTTTGAGTGTTTTAAAAAGTTGTCCTTTGAATGCTACATTGTCCGTCAGCATGTGGGGACTTAACTTAATTTGAGTGCTCTGAGGAATTTAGCATCCATTCAATTTAGTTTGAATGAAAACTTAAATTCTGTCTTTCATTAACACTGATTTGGAAGTAAGAAATAATGTAATAAGTGACCTATTTCTTTTTACAGTTTCTCTGAGGTGGATTTAATTCATGCCAATGTGAAGATTGGTTTTAGTGTTTTTTCTTTTTTTTTAAAGTTACTGGGAGCTATTTGGAATTGAAAAATTCATTCAATTTGAGGTTTGGTGTGATGTTTTGTTCCTTTGGCTATTTTTTGTAAGAGAGAGAAATAAGTTTAATTATACCTTTTGAGTCCTCAAATAATCTTACAAACCGATATCAATTTGTAACGTCATTGTGTTTAGTGGTTTTTGCCTCGGAAAAGAAGCTCATATCACCACCCGTGTGTGTATATGTGTGTGTGTGTCATTCAGTACACAGTATTTAAGGAACCAATTATTCTTCACAAACAGAAGTAAATAGATTTGTGCTACTAATAAATGTATCCGCCGCCATCCTCAATCTTCGTTTCGGGGACTTAGCCCAATTATACTGCCAAAATAAATGGCTCTACATTTCTGCCTCATCAGCATTCAAAGCATCAAACAAGAATCAAATGATTAACTTCGAAAAGCACGATATGTTTTGCCTTAAATGCCTTGAATGATTTAAATGAAGCGTGTTTTCACAGGAAATGATGTGACTAAGTGTTCAGTTTGAAGGCTTTCTAACCCGTTGGTAGACTACAGGTTTGTGTTTGTAGAACTAGTTACTAAAGCATATTAATGGACATTTAATAATACAAAATGTGTGGCCACTTTACTTGAACCAATCTTCTGCAAATTACCTCGATTGTTCTGGTTTCTCTCACAGTCAGCACTATTTAGGCAGTGCATGATTAGCAGATACTAAAAAAAAGAAAGAAACAAAAGGACATTCAGAAATAATCTTTCTCTCTCTCTCTCACTCACTCACACAAACCCAATCCCTAACCCTCAAAACCAGATGTTCTACTCTGTATGATGAGGATTTGATCTATTTAAAGAAAAGTAATTTCCTCCCCATCAAAACATAAAACACATCAAAATCTTCCAGGATGCAGATTAGAACATTCCCCAATATTCATGTTCCTGCTCCCTCATGAGCAGTCTTGCAGTGGCCCGATTCATAAGTTAAAACATTGATGTTCAAGCTGACCTGAAGGGAATGCCGTCATAAATCTACTGGAGCATCACACTGGCAGCACTATTCATTAGTCGGCTAATCTAAATGTCTCAGCGGGGACTTGGAGGCCGTGTGTGTGAGGCGGCCGTTTAGATGATCACGGGTTCAGTTTCTTTGGCAGTTGTCTGGAGAAATTGGACCCACAACACCTCCAGCGAGGCTAGACAACCACCCTCTCAAAAATCACTCGTGGACGCCCCCCCCGCCCCCCTCCCAGCATCTTCGATGGAGCGAGAGGCCCTTTTCACCGATGACACGTCGAGCCTTGTTAGTATGAAAAGGATATGAAAAATGGAATGAATGACGAGTGAATTCCATTAAGCGTCCCTGCTCTCACCGTCCTGGTGTGGTGCCTCTTTCACTCTGTCACATAGGCCCTTTTCACCCCCCACCGTGACTTTTCGCAATCCGGTGAACCAGATCGGAGCTCTGCTGCGCCGACATATGTGCGTCCGCACTGCAATGCAACCGTCCGGACAGGAGAGCGGTGGATATTTTGAGGACCAAGTATAGGCTGTAAAACGTTGGATGAACGTTCTTTGAGTCACTTGTCCTAACTAAAAGCTTTTATTTGGGGTAAGACCGCGAGTCTCTGCAGGGCTCCGGAGCATGTCCCTCAGTAGAAGAACCCCTCCCCCCCCCCCCCCTCCTCTCTGTGGGGCGGAGGTGATGGTCCCTGGCTTTTGATAAATTGTCCGTGCGACGGCCACATGCTGTTCCTCGGCTCGCGGTCTGATCCGTGCAGATCACAGAGGTTGGAAAGCGGCGTAACGAGCTCCGTGGGGACCGAGCCATCGTTAGTGTTATGAGCCACACCGGCGCTTTTCCTTCTTTCCAAAGACCAAGACTCTTCAGGAGCTGATATTGTCGTGTTGTTTCACTCGGCGGACAAACTGAAAAGGCTTCGGTCTACAACAGCATGTGACGTTTCTGTCCTCGAATAAAATCGCTTTGAGGCGGCACGGCGAGTGATGCTCAGGCACCAACCACTGTGTGTCATTTGGCCTTCCTGTAGACTGCAATGACATTTATTGAGTGGATCGTTTTGGAGTGACAATTCAACACACACGCATTCAAAGCGACATTCGCATTTTGAAAGAAAGTGTTTTCAACCAGAGCAGTAACAGTTAGCATGTCAGAACGAGGTTTTGAGGTATCTGAATACGTTTGGTGTGGTAAAGACACTACGATATTCATGTCACATGTATTAATGGGAAGCCGGCCTGCGGTGCTTTGTCGTTCTTCTTTCGGCAAAGAATGGTTCATGATGATCGGGGCTAAATAAACACAGATTTGTCCTCTTGCCCGTGTGTCCTCCTCCACACATCGGCCCGGTCAACATGAGAGAGCAGTTCATACTCTGACTGTATCCAGTGCAGAACGATCGATGTGTGATACAGAACACATAGTAATATTGATAGAAAAATAAAACAAAGACAATGAGGTTATTTTCTTGGCTAATGTACTGCCTTAAGTACCTTATTGCTTTTATAATCAGCGACATTATGAATAGTATGTAAATAGCTGCCTTTCAGTACAAAATGGTATTAACCACCAAACGCTGTGTATCGCATTCCAGTAGTCTAAAGAAACATAGTCCTCATACGTGCATGTAAACAGCATCGGGTCTCCTTGAAGATCTCGCACCATCTCATTCATTCACATCAGCTATGACGTCCACCTTAATTGTCCGGTTTGAGAAAGCTCGCGATACCCGAAACCAATTATGTGCGGTGTCTCCGGTCTTTTTTCGGCGATAAAAGCTGAAATGTCAACTAACAGTCGCGCAAAATCTAACCAGATACTTTGAGTGCGCGGTCATTTTGAACGCCCGGGTCGATGTGAACAGGTGGGCCGCGCCGGACCCCCCCCGGCGGGCCTTGAGTTTGACACCTGTGTGTTACATTATTAGACGATACCTCCTGCCTTATTGCTTAAATACAGTACACCCTGTGACTAATATAGAATAATATAATAAATATATATATAACGTATATGTTTCTCCCCTTGTCCCTCGCTCGCTCTGTCTCTGCCCCCCTCTTTCTCATGAATAATGTTGCTACCAGCAGGCAACGGTGTCCCACTGAACAGAGTCGCATCTGATCTCACACATGCACCCCCCCTCCCCGCCCCTCCTCTCCCACCCCTCCCCCACCGGCCCCCTTCAAATGAGCTTATCTCCTCGTCTTTCCCCCATGCCCTCTGTAAAGGGCACCGCACACACTGATGGCATTTATTGTGCGTATGAACTCCCACACCGGTGGTTTCCGATGTAGGCTCGTATATTGGTATCTTAAAGGCCGGTTAAACCTGGAATGTCTTAATGTGCAGCCCGACTACTATATGTATCTAAAGGAATGACACTAGTTTACTCAATCGCTCTCTGATGACATGTAATGTACATATATCTATTTTCAGGGGCAGTGTTTTCTCTCACATACACTCCGATAGAAAACAAACGTTGCCTGCAAATGAATGTACCTGTCATGCTTGTGCACAAACATAGATGCACTCCAAAGCTTTCCTTCACGTCTGCTTACCTACGGTCCACTTAAGGTCCCACCGAGGGAGTACGGAACCATTATGTTTACCGTTATACCTGTTCTCTATGTTTATGTCCCACTCACTGCTCTCTCTCTCTCTTTTTGTCCACCTAATTGTTTCTCTCTCAGGACGGGAACTTCACCAAAGAAGAAGTCACGCTGGCAGAGCCGCCAGTCAAGATCATCGGACAGTCCTCCTTCGTGGACTTTGGTGAGCACACCAGAGAAGAGATCATTGGCTGTAACAGATGCTTTTTTAAACCTGAAGTGAAGATTTAGGCTTCAAAATGTAAGAGGGAAAAAACCCAACCTCTAAAGCACGGGAAGCCAAAAGTGTCTTGGCCCCAAAGTATCTTGTACCGCTGTGTGTGTGTGTGTGTGTGTGTGTGTGTGTGTGTGTGTGTGTGTGTGTGTGTGTGTGTGTGTGTGTGTGTGTGTGTGTGTGTGTGTGTGTGTGTGTGTGTGCGTGCGTGCGTGCGTGCGTGCGTGCGTGCGTGCGTGCCGGGCGGAGCGTGCGTGCGTGCGTGCGTGTGTGTGTGTGTGTGTGCGTGTGAGTGGCAGATCTATTCCTCTCCTAAGTCCCTTAAGCTTCTACTGCATTTGAAGCCGTGTTGCTTCAAAGCTTTCGAATAGGAAGGTCTGGTCTTCTTGGCTTTGACATTTCACCACAGCTATCTCGCTGCACAACTTTCTTCTCCTACACACACACACACACACACACACACACACACAAAATGCTCACCCCTTGACCAAACAGGCTAATCTCACGCGTGCACACAGTGTTGCAAGCGCATGACCGCACACAACGCACTCTGGTACACACTCTCAATCCCACGTAGAGCCAGATTTTTTCATTTTGTGATCATTTTATCCCCTTCAACAATCTTGGCCCGTAGTATTCATTGTTCAGCTCAGCTTTACGTTCATCCTCTGCAAATCTCCGCTGGCTCTCTAATCTCCAAGCTGCAGCTCGTTTTGCCAAAAGTGGCCCCTGGTCCCTCCTGTCGCAGCTAACACCCCGTCCAGGGGACGGAGAAGACTTGTGGTGGCGTCCTGTGCTTGTTTAAGAAGCTAAATAGCATTTGGATTAACAGGGCCGATGGCAAGGACACGTTAAAGTCCCATGGGCCCCTGGAGCGACAACTTTTTCAAATGTGACTACCTGTGAGTTATTCTCCAGGTCAGTTGGCCGAGCTGGAGAATAACTACTTTCCAGAGTCTAAAACCAAAAGCTACTCTGAGCTTTAGAAGGAAACTTTGTGACGTTTGATGACCAGAGCCCTCAGTTATCTCATTCTGGGATGATTGCCTCCCTTTCATTGAAATGTTTCTCGGAGACGCGTCGATTCACATTGCAGATACGGTCGGGCAGTAGAGAGGAGACATGAAGACAGCAAACTAATATCACAGAAGCAACACAATAACAGGAATCCAAAGTCTGCAAACATTAGCAGCTAATGGTCATACCAGAGCAAGCAAAGGCCCCAACAGAAAGCTGCACAGTAAAAAATAATTTCCTATGAACTAGAGGATTTTCCAACGGGAGACCAGACGATGGAAACTACATCACGTGGCGATACAGACTGTAAGCTCTTTTTTGTAGGAAAATAGCATTACTCTCATTACGTCTTAAAAGCATGATGCAAAGCAGATTCGATATCCTAACAAGCTTACAGTGTGTTACGGTTTGTTTAAGTTGTTTTTCTCCTGTAACATTGAGACCCATTCTGCCACCGTGACGGATCATTCCGGTCGATATGTGCTGCCGTTAGCTGTGTGACGTTTGATGCATTTTTAATTAGCATCCGGGCTCCTGTGGCACTCGTGCACATAAGCTCACACACACACACACACATGTGTGCACACTTGCTTCCCACTGATAAACACTTCCTTATTGGCAAGATTAATCTGTTAATCTCATTGTAGCTAGGGGTGTCCATCAAATATTTAGTGAACAAACTTCCCCTTCCCAAATTGGCAATAATGTATGAGCCAGAGGGGAAATGACCTATATCTACCGTGTGTGTGAGTGTGTGTGTCACTAGGGGACCTCACGGCGTGTGTTTGTGTAATTGCTGGAGATTTTGTGTGTGTGCGTGCATTTAATTAACCTCTCTGGGGGCAGCAAACCTCTTTTTGTTCAAATCTCAAGCTTATCTCCACGACAACTTTTTCATTTTGTTAATCTCTTCCTTTTTTTTTTTTCCCTCCTTCCTTCGGCTGTGAAATGTCACTTGAAGACGTTGCCTTCGTTTGCCGGCGATAGAAACTCTTGAGGTCACGCGTCTAATAATCTGCCAAATTCTCAGAGAAATGCCGCTTTATTTTTGTCCCGTTTTGTCCTTCAATCAGCTCCTCCTCCGCTGTCACTCTCTATCTTTATTTCTCTTGATCAACTGTGCAGCTGCTATCTACGGCTCGTTCGCTTTTCACTCCCGTTTCCCTTCTCCTCCCTCGTTTCCCAATGGAAACAGCTTTGGGCGTCTCTTGGATCTTGTTGTTGGATGAAGACTCTTTAGTGGCCGAGCATCACTTCCTCTAAGCTCGTAAATCCCTTTATTTTTCCATTATGCACGAAAGCTTCTCTAGGCACTTCGCTTAGGAGATGGAGAGATTAGTATTTTACAACGATAACAATTCAGTGAAGGATTTCAAATGTTGTGTGAAAAGCAATATTTATGTAGGCGATTACAGATTACATCACAACATGCTATACAATAGTGTTACAGGATCAGTCATTACTCCACCTGCATCTGGTTGTCCCTTTAACTTTTATGTTGTCAGGCAGAGACAAAAAAAAACGATGCTGCGTGCCGACCAGAGCTGATTCAGTGTTTGTCATCACATCAGTGGGGCGGAATGGGAGGCCGGGGGTAACTGATCACATCGGCTCCGACAGGAACCGCACACAAGACTCAAAGAGAACCTGCACCCTCATGTATTTATAATAACACAAGTCCAAAGTAGATGTGTTTCAGTTCACGTCACATCCGTAGTTTCCATTGTAGTTGTAAGAAAAATGTCCAATTTAATATAAGAATATAGAAGTGATAAAAGAGGCTTTTTACTGGGTGTGTTAGGGACACAAGGTGTCATGTTCATATGAAATTAATTGAAAAGCATTTAATTGTATATGTTCTTGTTTTGGTGCTTTTTCAAATGTTTTCACCACCATTTATTCATAATCTACTTATGCTAAATACTTCAACTGTCCACCAGCTATATCGTATAGTATATAAATCATATCACATCATATATTGAACGAGTGATCGCAGAGAGGCCCGGGAACGAGACCTACAGAGTCGCAAATGAAGGAGAAGATTGTCACACTTCAAAAACCACAGTGGGATAGAGAAGATAATGGGAAACTAGAATAAAAATGTGCCGAGGTGGATGATTGAGAAGGAGGAGGAGGAGCTGGCAGAAAGGGTGACGAGCGAATGGAGGGAAAGCCGAGAGCGGCATCGCATCCCTGTGTGATCTTAAGTGGGAATTATTCCCATCGCAGTCAGTTCTCTCTCCACTCTGCTCCGTCTAATCCTCCGTCTCCCACTACTGCTCTCGACGTCTTCACCTGCGTCGGCCTTCCTCTGCATCTTTCTCTATAAGTCCCAGTCTCTTGAACGTGTTTGTCTTCCTGTACCTTGGATAATATACAACGACATCGGTAATATGGGAACGCAACCTGCTCTCTCCTACAGAAATGTAAAGTTAAGCTTCACCTAAGAACCCATCCCGGGAAACTCACCTGGTGAGCTGCAGCAACCTCAGATATACGTACACGTGGATCCACATAGTTATCATAGGAAATACAGCTTTTAGAACGGTTATAAACGTTGTGTCGTGTTATTGAGGTGTTTGCTTCTGCTGAAAGGTGGTCTACCGTGATCGGAGTTATGTTTTCTCTTTCATCTTTTGGATATCTGGATGTGACTTACCCAAGTGGATTGAATTAATTCCATGTTTACAGTTGATTACACATGTATGTACGTATTGTATCAGCGATGAAAAAGTTCAGTTGGTACAGTTCAGTTTTTGTTCTTGGGCTGACTTTTTAAAATCATTTATCAGAAAGAAGCTGTTCCAAAGTCGCTCCTATTTGCTGATATAAGTCTCTTGTGATATGACTGAACCTGGCTAACACTGCGTTTATTGCTATGTGTGTTTAATGTGTTTACCAAATCTACCATACAGTTATTTATCGCTATGGATCAATTAGATAGAAAAATCAGGGTTGCCACGTTGCCAATGGCAACCTCTCTAAGATAATGGCAAGTGTATCTGTGGTGGGAATAAGCACTTGAGTCCACAAAGCCTCCATTTACAGTGACTTACTGGAGACATTTTTACTGGTATTTTATTTACCAGTCAAGTATCAGATTAAAAAAAACACACCAAGAATGTTCATTACATATTGCAATGAATCTTATATTGTTTAAACCCGCTGAAATTGGACAGTTAAGTATTTTAATTTCTCAAAATATAATTTGACTAAAAATCATACTTTTTAGTTTTGTCAACGAAAAGCTGATGCCCGGTCGCCATTGTGGCGATTTCAAAGCCAGTGTTGAGCTCTCCGTGTCTGTAGATTGAAATTGAAATTGAATCTTTTTGCCTCAGTGACATTTTAAACAGAAGACCGACCTCCCCACAAAACATGCCCTGCATGAGACCTGCTGGAACAGGACCAGGTATTATGAATAATAATGTAATGTGTCCCAGCATCTTCCACAGGCTGAACGCATTTGACTAAACCTGAGGCACGTGTGCACGTTGCGCCTGTGTGTGTGTGTGTGTGTGTGTTCATGGATGCATCGTGGGAATCCGTCCACCCGCCCGTGTTTGTGCGGCAGTGGTTCGGTTTCCAGAGCTAGACTCCTAATGAATGCACAGCATATGCCAGACAAAACAGGCCATCTGCCTTATCACTGAGGTAATTGCATTTTTCAAAGTGACAGCGGCCGATGCATAATTCATCATTAGGTAAAGCACAACGATGTCCCACAACCAAGTGTGTCAGCTCCCGTCCCTGCAGGTAGGATGAAGGGGGGCCGCGGCGCGCCGCAGCCAGCAGCTCACCGCAATAGGGAGATTCTCTTCAGACGACGAGACGGGAAACGTGTTTGGAGGTGATATTTAAAGTAGGAAAGGCTGTCGTGCTGCCCAGGAGAGAGAGAGAGAGAGAGAGGGAGGGAGGGAGGGAGAGAGTGTGTGTGGGTGGATGTGTGTGTGTGTGTGTGTGTGTGCGCGTGCATGCAGGTAAGTCAGCATGTTAACAGGACAGCCTATTTCTCTCTGCTCTCCCCCCCGGCATTCTTTCTCCACTCATCTTATTATTATATTATTTTGTGCAACCTCTTCTCCTCTCCCTCTTTCTGTCTGCTTCATTCTCCACTCAACACTCTGCATACATTTTGCACTGTTTTTTTTTTCTTCTTCTTTTTCAACCTTCATTTCCCCTTGGTGTGTGTTTTCTTTCCTTCTTTTTTCACAGGCTGTTTTGTCTTGTTTCCGACCAGCCTGCTGAGCTTTCTGACTCACTCTGCTCTTTTGAGCTAACATCCTTCATCACTTTCTCTCTGCGTCTCAGACTCCTGCACACCTGCAGGTATCGGGATGCTGCTCGGCTAGTTGAGATCAGCGTTTTTTGGAGGTAGAATCACTTAATAACTTGTATCTGCGTTGTGACAGAGATCCCTCCAGATCATATTAATGAGGTAAAAATACGGCAGATCTCCACAAACAAGCAGCCTTTGTTTTGGTTTTTATCCCTGGTATTAAGAAATATCCCAATCCATATGCAAATGGTGGAGTCTCCTGGGTTCATAGTTTCAAAAGATCCAATAGCAATTTGCATATTTCAATATGCAATTGAATGGAAATCCCAAGTACATCTGACATTAAAGTTCCCTTCATTGAAGGTAAAACCTGCGTCTTATTTTCCCAGTACATGCTATGCAGTTAGATGCATAAGTAGTGCTCTCAATTATAAGCACCCACCCACAGTGCTTCGAACTAATTAGCACTATATTTTTTTGGAATACATTTAAATGCTACCAAAGGTTTTCAAACTCTGATTTATATTCAGCTGTGAGTGAGTGTGGGGGGTGCACTGCATGAGGTGAGAGGGGCGAGTGCACGCCAGTCTCTTCTAATACCAACATGAAGTTAGTCATTGTTAATAGTTTGGGTCGCTGATCTGATCGTCTGTGGCACCCGGCACCCCCCGAACATGCATGGTCCACCCGTGTTTACTAGGTTATTGCGTTCTGAGGTTTTCTTCGGTGTCAAAGTACTGATTACTGTATCAGTGATGATTGTCTGCACGGACATGGATTCATTGCAAGCTGGAACTGTTACGGGTACTTTGAATTGGGGTAAATTGGCCAAAATGTGTGAACGATTACAAATATGGATTATTAAATAGTAGTCGCTAAATGGACGGAAACAGGGCTGTTGGTGAGGCACAATTGACATAATTTGTCTGAGGGCGACCTCAGTGTCAGACTTTGTAAAAGATCACATGCTTTCACATTCGTAATTTGGTTTTTGCACTACCACAAACTAGATCGTCGCTTTAAACAATGGCGGGTAAATGAAATCCAACCGTAACATTTTTTGATCTATGGTGATTCGTATGACCGTATGTGTGAAAGTGCCGGAGATGCACTCCTCTACCCTTTGACCAGTGTAAATAGGTTCCAGGCTACAGAGATATGGAGAGAGATATTTTACAGACAAGGAGCCCTTGCTTTAAAATGACACTCTCGAAGGAGGAGACCTACGTCAAATCCCACATGTCCCCTCCCAATATTACACCTTTAACACACAAATACACTATTGCATAAAGCACACAGTTCTCTGTCGGATTTTGGGGGTCTGTAATGAGTCGCAGGCCATCGGCAGCATCCCACCATGTGTGTTGTCACTATTGCATATTGTGATTTGCATAGTTATTGGGGAAGTGTATGAATGCTAATGTGTCGTAATGCAAATCTGCACTGTCTCTCTCTCTCTCTCGCTCTCCATTCCTGGGCCCCGTCTCCCCTCTTCTCAGCGCATGAACCCACACCTGCAGTGTCCTCTCTCTGAGCATCTCGCAGCCAATCTCCGTCACGCCGCGCACTGTCAGCGGGTTCGAAAGATGAAAAGAGGGAGGCGGGCAGGCGGGGAAGGAGGGAGAGGATGATGGTGAATAAAGTGGAGGAGAGATGGACAGAGAAACCGATGCATTAAGACTTGAGGAGGGAGTAATAAGGGGAGTGAGTTACTGACAGAGAAGTGAGTCAGAGAGGAGCAGGGGAGAGGGAGGGAGGGGAGGAGAGCATGACGGGGAATAAAAGAGAGACAGATGAAAAGATGGATGAAAGATGGTGTATGGAGGTAAGGACATGTGGCACCAAGGGAAGAAGAGCGTGTGTGTGTGTGTGTGTGTGTGTGTGTGTGTGTGTGCGTGCAGCAGAGCTGACAGCAAACACCAGAGACCGAATGGGGAGTGACAACCTCTGCAGGACCTGATTAGCACTCATTCTGTCCCCCTCCCCATCTCTTCCCATGTCTTTTTGTTTTCTCTCCTCCCAGTAGCTCGCCGGCTACACACCATCCCACACTGCAGAGCACGGGCGTGCACTCGGTGTGCACTCGGTGTGCACTCGGTGTGCACTCGGTGTGCACTCGGTGTGCACTCGGTGTGCACCCGGTGTGCACCCTTGCAGTTATTACACAATTTTCTGTTAACAATATACGAGCCCCGGCCATCACCAGGGTTCTTTTGTCAGACTGGAGACGAACCCACGGATGACTTTGTACCAAAGTTCTTTGAGCTGAGTAGTACTCCAAATGGCGGCTAAAATGATCTTTTAAGTGTTAAAGTGGTAAGTCAATAGACATATAATTAAGTGATGGCTTTCGTAATCCAATATTGGTTTATTTAGAAAAGCACTGAAGATTAAGTGGTCACAGCTTTCCGAGCAGGAGTGTCTGCTGGCTTCCATTCATTTCATACATAGTAAATTCAACGTGGTGACTTTTTTCCCTGTCAGACAGCATAAGCATTCTTAAGACATCACTTCAGGCCAAGAAATTTGAAATGGTAATTTGTTATTATTCTAATTTTCTAAAAGATGTGTGGATAAAATGCATAACAAGTGCATCATTTCATGTTTAGTCCTCATTTTCATTCATTATTACAGTATGTTCTGCAATTAAAATTTGAACGAACCGCAGTTCACGTTATGAAGAGATTTCCTGATATTCTATCCCACAAATAGCTCTTCTCTGTATTTCTGTCTGTTATGTCGGCATGTATTGTGATATTTCTATCCAGATTTGGCAGCTTGGAGAATATAACTTCATTTTCAATGAGGCTCGTTGTCAACCACAGACATTTTGACATGTTTTCTTATGATTTTTATAATGCAACAGTACAAGAAGAACCTGTTCACTTATTATCTTGAGCAGCACATCTGCTCGTCCGTCACACTTGGTCCCTCCACCACGCGGCTCGGTGGTGGAGGGACGGCCACTGTCCTCCTCGCCGGCTTTTTGTACCGTCATTCATCATCAGTGTCACTCGCTTTTCCATTTCACGTGGCGCAACATCTGTTCGCGGGCGCTGCTCTCGCCCCGTTGAAAAAAGGACTCGGCGACTCAGAGACGCGGTGCGGCGAGAGAGAAGCCCAGAAGCAGTTTGCTCCCTCTGCGTCTGGTGTCAATCAATAAAAATGACTTGACTATTTTGTGTAACAATCGGAACTGCAACTGACCGTCATTTTCACCGTTTGTTTCGATGACTCGTTTGATCCGAAGACAAATACCCAAACAATGCCGCTCGCCCACGTGGGTTCTGTTCTCAGGAAAGGTCGGTTAGGTTCATGCACGAATGAGACAATTCAAGTCATTCAGTGCACATGTACACACATCCGATCACCAATCTATTACAGCCGACGTTACCACATAATATGCTGCAAAACCAAAGTGCGTCCATCATCCCTGTAACACACAGTGTTCCTTCCGCGCTTCCTGCCCGGCGACGTCGTGGACGTACCAACGGCGGCGCTCTGCAGCCCGGGTGCGCTGCGTGACTAATCTGCAGGCCTTAAGTGAACACGAGCAGCCTCTGCTTTGCTTCAGCATCCTCACAATGTGTAGTCACAGGATTTACCGAGTTGAAGACCCCGAAGAAAGGAAACCAACAAGTAGATCACACGTCTGTCCGCAGATGTAAACGTGGTGAAAGAAATATTTCATCATTCAGTTGACAACTCTTAATGAACGGTTGTTGTGTGTGTTTGGTAATCTGAAACTAGACTGCACACTGAGGCGCTCGCGCTTGGAAGAGTTGCGGTTTTGATTTTGGGAGGCGCTACACCCGCGTTCGTGCATTAGATGGAGCCTGTGCGGAATTCTGATAATGATTAATAGCGCTGAGAATCAGTGGAAAAAATGATTCTTAAAGTCAGCCGCTGTTGTTGAAAAGGATCAAAGAGCCGAGCGCCGCTCAGATGTGTGTGTTTTTTTTGTTTTTTTTGTTGCTCGGAGGAAACAAGCAGGTGTTCTTGTGATCCGGCTCGCGCGTGGAGCAGGAGCGCTTACTTTGTTGCCAGAGAAGCGTGCGGCGTTGTGACGGAGGGAGATGATTAAAATAGGCCGTTTTCAGAAAACAAAAGATCCGTCCTCCCTCTGGTTTAGTCCAACATTGTTGCTACTCGGCCTAATTCTCTGTGTCTGTTTCCGGCAGATGGCGACGGCTACCAGGACCACCTCCTCCCCGTGTGTCTGGATGCCACCTGCCAGCGCGGCGCCATCTACATGGTCAAGTCGGGCTCAGCGGAGGTACATGGCGCACACGAGTCCTTCTAGTGGACTCGCCTGGTTCTTTTACTCAGCAAACCACTTGAACATGTATCACTTGTCTATGAGTTGGACTTTGAAGTGCGATTCTATTCAACCGATCATAACGCCTTTCTGTACTTGGATCTGTCAGACACCGCCTTGTTCTTTCCTCCACCTCACTGATTCTTCTAGTTCTTATTACATTCAGAGGAGGCGTAGAAACCAGAGTTGCCGAGGTTTTTAACCAAGGTTAGGAGATTTTTTTGAAGTGACTTTTGTAACCAGATGTGCTGGATCGGAACGTGGCTGTGCACGCATACGTGGGCCCACAGTTGATACTGTTGAAACGTCAGTGATTAGCGAACATTCCCGTCAATTCTTAACAATTAAAACCCTCTTATGTCATTTGAAAGCTTTTTGTTTTGAAGCAGCATGCGTTCGTTTCTCCCTCTTGTTTATTTCAGGACGGCATTGAACGCGCGGCTTACTGCTGTATAAACCTCGGGGGGCCGAGCCGGCGGGTGTCACTCTGTTTGCAGAGCCGTGTGAGATGGCAGTAACAGATACACGCGCGCGCCTCAATCCCATCTGAATAATACACACGTGCACGGATAAGCTCGCGCACAGCTGCTCTCAGAAGGACTCTCTCTCTTACACACACACACACGCACGCCCACACACCACCTACGTAGCATCTTGTGTGATTCTTTTCAGTTGCATCCCACCAGTTGGCAGGAGACCCCACTCGCTCCGCTTCCTTCCTCTGCCACCAGAGAGGAAGCTTTTCTTTTTTCCCCAATCCAAAATAGAAATATTACACGCTTATCTGCATGTCCTTCCCTACTCACACACACACACACACACACACACACAGACACACACAGCTGCTCACTCCATGTGGACGCTTTTTTTTGCCTGTCAGCAAAAGAAAAACAAAGAGGAGGAGTTATCTGCACTGATGGATGAAGTGATGAAGAGGAGCTCTTTGGTTATCTGCATAGCCATGTTGATGTCAGTTGTGCATCATTATTTGTGGTGCAAACACTGATATGAGCCAATAATATTGCCTGATCCTACACCACTGTGGGGGCGTGGCTCCGTGACAGCAGACGTCTCCCCATGAGGAGAGATCATTTTGTAGAAAGATGAGGGGTAAGAGAGGGAGGGAGGACAAAACAAAGCAAAAGAAAAGAGGTTATTAAATGAAAGGAGGGAGATGGAAAAAGAGACCGTGGGAGGGAGAAATAGGCGGCGGAGAAGTAATGGCGGTTAGTCGTCCCCTCATTGACACTTTTAGAGCAACCTCTCATCAGAGGGCGGAAAAGAGGGATGGAGAGTGAACTCCCGGTATGTGTGAGACATATGCGGCGACGTGGTGAGATGCTATCGGGCGATGCGCGGACGTCCCGCTGAGTAGAAACTAGTGTGTGTCTGTGGTCCAATCTCCACACGGCAATTTGCTGCTTCCCTCCGTGGCGCCTGCCTGTATTTGCGCAGGAGCTGCGGGCCTTTGCTTCACCGTATTAAATGAAACCACTCAGGAGGCATCCAGCAATCTGCTCGCTCCCTCCGCCGTCGTTACGGACACACTGATCACATTTATTGTGCTTTGCACCTCTTATTTCTATCTGCGCTCAAATTGTGCCGGTGGGTGTTTAGGCAGAGGAAGGCAAACCAACCTGACCTGTATGTCTTTTCATTAGCTGGAAGGAAACATCTGCTACACATCAGAATACATTCTGTGTGTGCCTCAAAGACCAGTTTCAGCACACAAATGCAGTGTGTTGGTCATCCTATATGCTACATGATATATATATATATATCATGCTGCGATTCCTAATTGGCGGCGTTTGCCGGAGCACCGGGCCGTTGGGTCTGCGTCTGAAATAGTCCCACACTGAGATGGTCACGGGCGAGGTCGCTTCTAATTGACACGCCGTTGCTCGGAATGCAAAACAATATATATTCTGGACATATTTTACCGTGACAAATGGCATCAACCCTACCGGGTGATACTGTATATGCTGTGAGTGATATAGTGACATCGCCTGTGTGGACGAATGACAGAGAGCCCTCTATACGCAGGAGCTGTTACAGTTTCTGACTAGACGCCCGTCCATCGCATTGCTTCTCTTGCTTCACCAGCACGCAAGGTGGCCTAGAGTCTGGAGGGGTTGGGTGGGGTGACGCTTGGTCGTCTCGTTGATCTTTTGTAGAAACAAAACGTTTAGAAGTGGGATTTTCCCCTGATTTAATATCGTAGTACAAAGCAAAGGAATTTCTACAGCTTTTGTGAACCACACATCTCATTTCAGGCATCAAACCTTAAGCCAGTGAGACGCTCCATCCAGATCACGCGGTAATAGCCGGTGTTAATGTGACCATCTATAGTGACCGAAACCAGAAGGGGTGGAATGAAGCTTTCTCATACACATTCCTTAAAGAGTGAGCGACCCTGACTCTTTGCACTCCCCAATGTTGACTCTATATTGCCTGAAGAAATTAAATCCTAGCTAAGTTAACAATGCTGCCCTTCTGACGTTTACAATTTGGTGTCGTGATCATTTTGTCTCTTGTCCTTCAGTGGGGACAAAGTCACCTCGCTCTAAGCCTTGCTCAATGTCAATGTAAGAAGCTTTTTTTTCTTCTTCTTTTTGTGGTCCATTGGTAACGCTCCCAATTTACACACACGCGCCAGTGCCAAGCGCACACACCGCCCCCGTGAAGACCGAGCCAGCTGCCCACGCCGTGTACGGGGCTGCCAGTTTGAGCGAGACGGCCTCCTCCCCGTCCTCCCAGTCGCTGGTCAGAGAGGTGACACTGGCGGGCAGGTAGCAGTGTCCCCTCCCTGCCTTATAGCAGATAGACCGACATATGGTCTCACTCCGTCTCTCGCGCAAACTGCCTCTCACCAGAGAGAAACTATGATCTCATCTGCACCAGTTGATTAACAGCAATCTGTGTACTGGCAGTGGTCGGGGCAGTGATGTGTGTCTGTTAATGCAAATCACCACGGACACCAGCAGCTAACACCTCGCATCTACTCCACCAGAAATTAATTAAGGATTTTTTTTTAAATTTTAATTGCACGGAATCTTTTCACGCCTTTGTCTGATGGCCATGAAGTCAACCATCTTGTGACCTTCACCAAAAGTATAAATTAAGTGTAATGTACAGTGTTTGCTCATGTTGGTAGCGATCAGGCTGCCACTCGTTGGAGTAGATCTAGACAAGTTCAGTTTACCTCATCAAACCCTCTCATTATCTTTGTCTGGGTTTAAGAGGGAGAACATGGCGCAGGGGAGGAGAGGGTACTGCAGCAGTAACCCCTTTACGTTGCGGCGTACCACGTAGTGTAGCAGAGTAGCTCTGCTCGGGCCCCATGCCGTCCTTCAGTGCCAGCTCTAATGTGATAAGCATTGCAGTCATTATACCGGCGGCATCATAAAAGCTATTGCTTCATTACACACCTGTTTTTTTCCCGCTTGTTGTTTTTGAGCATTTTATTGCCTCAGACGGCCTCGTTGTCTGTCGCCTCCCCGCATCACCTCATAAACTCCACCTCCGCCGCAGGCCTCCCACGTTTTAATTTCTTGGCCTAATGAAGCGGGAGCGCCCTCCGCCAAGTCGAATCAGTGGGAATCTAAAAGCGTGCTGTTGCCTTTTTTTCACTTTAGTCATCAGCGAAGCCGGGAGAGCGATTTCATGTCGGGGGTCTGTGTTTGTTCCCCAGCTTGTTTTTTTATGTGCATTTCAATAGGCGTGCTTCCGTGCTCTACGTGTGTGTGCATGTGTGCGTGCGCAGAACCCCACAATGCGCTGTCTGCACGCGGCTGCGATTCCCGACTGCTTGATAAAAAGCAATTTGTATGCGGGAGCCGTCCCCTCGCTGCCATTAAAGGTATCAGGTTACCTCGCGAGTACAAATCCCATCATCGTCTTCGTCTCCATTACCTCGGCCATTTGGATGCGCGCGCTCAACCACGCACACGCACAAGGCCACACACGGACCCAATTCGGCGTTAATACGTTGACATTTGAACCAGCGAATAGGGAGTTGTTTAGACCGCGGGACGCTCTGTGTGACTGCGGCGACGTCAGGAGGGCCGATAATTCCATAAAGACACACACTTGACATTATTCAAATACTCTGTTATATTTAGTGATTAAATGTCAAAACTTTCACAGCCACAGGAGGAAGGAGTTACTGCCTCATGATTTATTTAAGGAGCACCTTTGTCGGGCTGGCTATCCGTTTTAGCTCCTCAGATGAAGAAAGATTTCATTAGATTACAACCGTTAATATCCTCACGGAGGTCCTTATGATTTCCTCCCAATTCCCTGCACAATGCTGCGGAGCAATAAAAACAAACAAGGGTTTGGGGCAGGAGGGGGGGGGGGGGGGCTGCTGTCCTGTGTTGCAGATGAAAAATGGGTTACAGGGGGCGTACTCCATTCTGCAACCCTTGATCGCATGACTTCCGCTTTCGCTGTCGGCCTTTTTGATAGCGTCTGCCAATTTACCTCAATTGCTTCAAGTGTTGTGTCATGCGCCTTTGCTCCTCCATACGTCCGCACAGTGTTATCATCCAATATCCGTCATTGGGTGTATGTTTGAGAGGCAATCAAGCTTTCTGCCCGGAAACAATATAACGTTTAATTTACAGCGAGACAGCCACGATGATGCCGCTCTTGCATTAATTAATTAAGAATATGGCAGGCTTAATTTGGACTAATGAATAGCGCTTGATTAAGTATCTATATCATGTTTCAAGGGTTCTGTGTATGAAAACATGCCTCGCTTATGTATTTTTTTTAGTCTCTTGGAACTCTTCCAGCGTCTGTATTTTCTGTTGGCCGTTTATCTGCATTGGACTTTCTTTTTCCCGTCAGCCTTTTTCCATCCTCCTCTGCTCTGCCTTCAGACTGCCTGTAGCTAAATGACATTTGTTTGTGTATCAGCATCTCTCCTCCAGTTCAATCAGCAGCACCACAGAGTCCGCGTATGACCCGACGCGCGACAGCCATTCCGACATATTTTTTTCCCGCCACGTTGATGAGGTGCTGTTGGTATTCTTCACGCTCTTCCTCTCCCGCCCTCCAATCAGCGCTAGAAGAGAAGCGGCAGACATTGCACGGATTGCCTCGGGGGCCGACGCCAGCACAGGGGTCTGGCGATAAGGCCGGCGAGGGCCTCGGAGGGACCGATGGAGTCCAACGTGAAGATAACTCAGCAGGGAATTCATTTGCCCTGTGGACCAACCCCCGCCCCCCTCCCCCCGCCCCAACAAAAAAAGATTGAGGACGTGGTGGCTTTTAAAAAAATGGTCCACCTTTCTCTCATTTTAGTTATTTTTATCACTTCCTTCATCTCTCCTCCATCACTGCCCTACTTTCAGAATCAGCAGATGGCTTAACCTGCTTACCTGCATGTGTTTAATACTGGTTCCACCTCTTTGAATGTTCCCAGTATGTGCGCGTCTCTCTCTCTCTCTCTCCATTTTTTAGATTAGATTCAACTTTGAATTGTCATTGCACATGGTACAACTACTGAGGCAACAAAATGCAGTCCAATCCATATCTCTGCCTGCCACCAACGCAGTGGTCATTTCCAGCACTCCCATCCACTCCGGCCGGCAAAGATCATCAAGGCCTCGCGCCCGTGCGGTGGGCAGGCGGCCTCGCAAAGTGTATCGCAACATCACTCAGCGGCCATTCAATGAGAGCTTGACTGGGCCTCTTCTCCTGTGAAAAATGGCTTTGTCACTCCCCTGCTTTTCGGACGCCATCTGCACGGCACGTAGGGGAGCATAATTAGTATCGTCCTCCACTCACTTCTGCCCAGTAGAGTCGGTCGGTCCAAGTGACAAAACATACAGGCCTTGAAGGTTAATGCAATGTTGAAAAGTTTCTCCCTTCAAAATAAAAGTCATGTGCCTGTTTACGACTAAATTAGGTAATTCATTGCATGAATTTAATGAACAACAACAAACACAAAAACATCAATTGAATTGAAGCTCACATTGAATTCTTTCTCCAGTTATACCGGTACAACTAAATACAAACTTTATGCTTTCTATTCGCATGCAATGCAAATCAACCATCATTTCAAAATCCATAATAGAACTATAGGAATTATGGCGGCTGATACTAGATTTTTGAAGACAATGCTGACGCATGACCATAAGTTTGTTACTCTATAAACAAATCTAAGTAACAGCCAAAAGTTTTAACATTAACAGATAACAAGTCCCTTGGATTTGGTCCTTGAGCCAAGATAAGTGAGTAATTTCACGGTTGAATGGATCGATCCGGGCGTTGTCTTTCTCTTGGGCCGAAAAAATATATTGGTGGCTCTTTATTCAAGCGATGCCGACCGTAGATTGGCATTTCTCAATTGTAAGCTTTATTTGCAATTCACTGACTGGTATTCCATTTATTTTGTCCACCCCATTTAGGTCAATAAAAGTAGACTGAAGAGCCTCTTTGCAATACAAACTAATTGCAGCCTCACTAGTTATAGTTTTAATTATTCGCTTTATATAAAAGAGCATTTCATTGATTCAATCTCCATCTGAAACATTTCAGATAGGTGAGCATTAAAACAGACGCAAAGGAACAATTTAGAACAGTGTAGTTATTAGTGTAGCTAATCAACCTCTTACGAAGTGACAAGACTTGTAACAAGACTGTATCAGTCTAATGAAGACCACAATTATAGATTAGATTAGTTACTCTAAACCGAACGTCCGGTACTGAATGGCGATGCACGCCACTCCTCGTGGATCTTTGTTGTGTCCTAATGGAGTTTGGGAGGGAGGGTTCGGGACGATAATTCAGTGACCAGCACTTAGTGAAAGAGAATACGTCACAACTTAAATACCTCAAACCAGCGTGTGCCGACGCGGCCGCGAAGTGAAGTGGCATTGATATTAAGCGAGAGCTGGTATGGATCTCCACGGCGTTCGTTGAAAGCACTCCGTGATCTCCCGCATGCTTTGATTCTTACCTTCCGGATACGTCAGTCGCTTGCGGTATTACAGCCGGGCCCTTGGGGGCCGGCCTTGGCATTTGAATTGTGAAGATGAGGGAAAGACGCCTCGTTAGAAAGGTGGGAGAGCTCGTTCCGTCCTCGGTTGTGACGTGGGATGGCGGCATTTAAGAGTGTGGGTGGGTTGGGTGAATGATGACGTGTTAAAGCGCTGTGAGGGGTCGGAAGACCAGAAAAGGCGCTTTAGAAGTACAGCCCATTTACCATTTACCACTGCAGGCTGTGAGCAGGCACAAAGCCGCTGATTCACTGCAGTCTATTACGAGGCCAAAGGAGCGTTTATAGAGAAAGTACAATTATTTTATCGGGATCAATCCCATTCAGACGGGTTCCTTTGATTATATTCCGCCTGGTTCAGATTGGTTCAGTCACAACTCGGGTCCTGTGCTGCTTTTTCTATCAGGCTTTGTTTTTGTTTTTGTTTGTGGAGTTGCTAAATTGAGGATTTACACGTCTAAGGGAGCAAATAATGTGTTTTGCTTCTGATTACCTCTCGACAAAATGCTTTTCTCCAAGTTTTGCTTTAGCCTGAGTTTGCACTTGCACAACGCTAGAGATTGCAATAGGCTGGGCAATCTAGGAATGGACTTCAATCATATTGTTATGTGGCTTCAATGTTAAGTGTTTCACAGTCATATTTGAGTTTGTTTTTCACCGTTAAAGTGCTCCTGAAACTCTCGCCAGAGGTGTGTTATTGGAGTGCTCTTACTGCAGCGCCATGGATTTGTGTCGTTAATGTCCTTCCCCCGCACCATCGCTCTCATCCACTGGAACGAGCCTTTCTGAGTGGTTTAAAAATTGTCCTTTTGGGGGAGGGGGAGCGGGGGTGGTCGTAACACACGGCGAATGGGAACGTATTTGGTTCCCATCACCGTTTTATAAAACCCGGGTCATGCCTTGCGCTGCTTGGATGTGGGTCTGTGATGTAAGCAGCTTTGTCCATGTGAAAGAAACGGCATGGGGAGACCTGGCTAACATGGTGCTTGTCTTAGTTGCCCAAACTGCACGTCGTGGTGGAAAATATTGCCGATAACAAGTCCATAATATGCTGATATGAAAACATGTCACACAACTCGTCTTACAGCGTGCAGGCAGTCTGCATGTCAAAGAACAGAACTAGAAAACTGTTCTGTTGTCTAATACAACGTATACAGAAACAGCTACACAGTTCACACAAAGGTCTAGGTCTTAAATATGGGATTATTTCTTCCTCTTCTTCCCTTGTTATCCTTTGTATTTTGGCGTATTTGTGTCCACCTTCCAAGAAATGCCTAATGGAAAAGCATCGCCGAGACCTGCATTACAATGCCAGTGTGAAAACCAGGTATCGCATATTATGGTCAAGTGCAGAGATTACAATTTAATGGTCTTCACGTCAAACGGACTTAGTTTGCTTTGGAATTTTTTTCCTCACACTGAATAATTCACCGCTGGAAGAGTGTGAACTGGAGGCAAAACACAAACCATCCAGGTAGAAAAGAGAAGAATAGAGAAGAAAAGAATAGAAACCCTTTGATGCTGCTCCGGTGTTAATTGATTCTAAAAGTACTGCATGGGTAACGTTTTATTCATATTATTATTCAGTGGGTTTTATTCTCCATCTTATGTTGTGCCTTCATGTGTTCTATCTAATTCAATCTGGGCGACGGTGGCGAATGCCGTTGACAGGGTGCGCCGGAAACCGCAGGGTTGTGTGTCCCTGAGCAAGACACCGGACCCCTAATGGCTCCCCGGACAAAATGTAAAAAAAACATTAAACATGCAATGCAAGTGGCTTTGGATAAAGGAGTCGGCTAAACGACATGTAATGTAATCCTATACGATTCACAAGTAAGAACGGGCCTGAATGTCTGCTGTTTGTGTTTTACTACATTGAGTACTGCTGTTCTCTACATTTACTCCTCACGATTGAGTCCAGCGTGGCCTCCCTTAGTTCCCGGGGTTGATGTGTGATTTTGTTTTTTGTTGCAGTGGGTGCCGGTGCTGCTGGATTTCCAGCGCAGGGAAACGATTTGGAGTTTCGTGCCGGGGAAACCCAGCCAGCCCTTGGCGCTGCACTTTGGGGACTACAACCTGGACGGCTTCCCCGACGCCCTGGTGGTCCTCCGCAACACCAGCGGCAGGTAGGACAGATGTTAAGAACTCGTTAAGACGGGCGTGCGAGGTCTTTTTGTCGGATCATTTTGGATGGGACACACGCGCACACGGAAGGTAGAGTCAACTTCGGTTCCTCTGGGGCCTCATTTAAGGTGACATCTAGTAAATTAATGAGATATTTCTGAAACTCAGCTAATCCTTGCTTGGCAGCGGGGGGGCCTTGGAATCCTGTCAAGTAGGTCCCTGAACCCCACTCCAGCTAATCGTCTCAGTGTGCTCGACTTCATCGGGGCAGAGGCAGGCGGCCTCAGCATGTCCAGGGACGCCACGCAGTCACATACGGACGCTGCTTGCTTTGTCATCACACAGAACGGGATTATAGAAGAATATCCTCACTAACGCTTCCTTCAATTTGTCGCCCACATTCCAACGTGTTGTGTAACATTCCCCGTTTTGATGAGATTACACTAACTATGGTATTCCAACAGAACACAAAGTGAAATTGTTTGGAACCTAATAACTCGTACGCGTATTTAAATGGATTATGTAAATCTGTTCTGCCTTCTAAAGTAGATTTTATTTAATTTTTTCCCCACTACAACAATTTGGAATATACATTTTGATGCTGATTCACATACGTAAAACTGTGTACAAAAGTAGATTGATTAAATATTATGTCATTAATAAACCCTGAGATATCAGATGAAGTATAATCGTTGGCATAGATGAAGGTGATTGTTGCCTCTTTGACCTCCATGCAAAACAGTCCTTGACTGCAGGATACGGATATCATGTGTGTGACATTGTGGAATAATGAAGAAGTGATTAACATCCGGTTCATTCGAGCAAGGAGCGGGACAGGACACCGCCACGGCGAGGCTGTTCTTCAGCGTTCGGACACGGCGGCTGATAAGCCGGCCCTTTTTAAAAGTCACCACGGCATGCGCCGGGACGCGAGCACCACACGGGTGTGTGCGTGTTGACGGACCTATTCACGGATTATCTGGCCAAGGAGATGAAGATAAGATAGCCAAAGGGGTCATGGCTGTGATTGTCGATGCATACTGATTGTTTTCTGTGTGTGTGTGTGTTTTAATGCTGGTGTTGTGTCAGGAATAGTAAGATGTTGGGAAATAGCTCCAAAAGATTCACAGACACTCGCACATGTACTGGTGAATTCTACTTTCCTTGTCTAGGCTCTATGTAATCAGCAGTAAGTCCTATCGGGATTAACTCTTTGCAGTCGCCCTCATCTAGAAATGACTTTGGCTGTAATCACAAAAGCTATAGCTTGGCACCCCCTCCACACACACACACGCCCTCTTCCCTTCCATTTACTTTTCTCAGTTTAAGCCGCAGCATTGTAATCCCACACTGGGCCCGCGGATATTATTAGTGCTCCCCAATACAGTCTGACCCTTTAGAGCCACCATCATCATCAGGAAGGCAGAGAGGAAGGATGAGGAGACGATAAGAGGTCAGGGTTATAGGTCAGCACGTTAGAGTGTGTGGGTATGTTATATCAACGCCCCAGAGCAAGGCAGCGTCGGCCTATTGCTGCCCCACCAGTCAGCGCGTTGGTCCTTCGGGTGAAGACGTGCGCCTCGACAGGTCGTCTTTCAGCTTCTTTCTGTTTTTCCGTCCAGACGTTTTTCTTGAAATGCGCGCCGTCGACTCGCCCCGCTATCAGCAGCACACTGCTCAAAGCGAATGCCCTCTGCTTACCAAATATGTGCACAGCCCACATCTGATCTATTTTAACTCTCCAGCCCTCTCCCTGTTTCTCTCCCTCGTCTCCCGAGCCGCTCTCACTCCCGCTTCCTTCCGAGCGGTTATTTTTAGCGGCTTTTCAGATAAAAGTCCTGCCAGTCGGTGTCACTCCTCCTCCCGGCGAAATGAATGCCGATTTTTCAAACGATGAAAATGGGAAGAGTGAGTGAGGGGGAGAGATGAGCGTAATCGGGTTGAATCAGCAGGAGGAATAAATAGAGTCAGTAACGGACGCGTGAGGTCATTCCGTGATGTCGCTGAAGTTTGTGAAGCTTAGCTCTGACAAAACCTCCGGGGATATGTTTTGTTACCTCAGAAGGAAATATTTATCTTTTTCACCCGTTTATTGCCCAATTAATAAAAACCCTGAAACACACCACAACGTACTTCAGGCCGAGCATCCACCCGAGAGTCCTCCTGCGCAGCCACAACCTCCAGCTCTTCATTGGGGTCGTCAAATCCTCCAGGGGCCAAATGGGATACAAAATTTCTCCGCCACGCTGTTTTTCGGCTGGGAGGGGGGGGGGGGGGGGCGGCCTTCAGTAGACATTATAATCAGATGCTCGGCCTTTCCCCGAGGGTCACCCCGACACCCTTCAAACGCATTGCAGCGCGGTGATGTTGTTCTTTCAGTCCCCACTCAGATCTTACAGCCTCCAGGTGAACAACTAGAAATAAGTACACTTCGCCCTTTCCCGCCTGTCACTGCCTCGTCCACTTCTCTGAAGACCATATTTGCCATTTGTTCAGTCAATCCTGAATGAAAAGCGTCAAGTGCACCTCGCTCTCCGCGTCGGAGAAATAATGCTCGTGTCAGTTTATCATTTTGGCCTGTGTACTTAAAGCATTTGCAGTTCGAATGAATGTCACGCTCACACTAACTAACAAGCTTTTCTGTTTATTGAATAACACCTGTTGATGATGTCAGAAGCATCCATCACATTGTTTACTTTATCAGTCAGCACATACATACACGTTTTCCTTATTACATTTCATTGTGGATCATCTGGTTGACATCAACTGCTTAGCTTTTACCCCGTCCTTGGACACATGTCGGAACTCCAGATGATCCATTTGCAGACTGTATGGAGACGTAGCCATCAGGAGCTGCAGGCTTCAGGGTGCCCGCACATGTCCCTGTGTGTTTATGTTTTCATGTCTGTGCAGTGTGTCATTTTCCATCGGTAGCTCCTAATGTCGCACTCCTCGGGGTGCGCGTTATATCCGGGTCGAAGGACAGACTGAGCCTCCAGAATCTCTCGCTCTGTCATCCGCACGCGCGCACACGCGGACTCACACTGTCAGATCTCAACGCAGGGTGCAGGGCTCTCGCTCACTGCAGAAAGGAGTTCCTGTAGGTGTTTCAGTGCTATGCAGTATGCCAGCTTTGAGGAGACAGGAGGCGACACAATGAAAGAGACCGAGATAAGCTCTTTGAAAAAGAAACGGCGGAGTGAAAAAAATGAAGTCTTTTTCTTGTTTTTTCGTCTCTCCTTTTTGTTATCTTATCTCAGTGTGAGAAACTTTCTTCAGGAAAGCCTGGTGGTAAAGTGTAGTTCTTTCAGGTGCAGAGGACAAAGCGCGGCGCTGCTCCACACACTCGCTTATGATCCAGATTCTTCTCTCTCTCTCTCTCTCCAGGCTTGGACTGCAGGGCCGTCCGACTATTCATCTACTTTATTTCTTTATTTTTCCCTTCACTCTTCTTTTGCTAAGCAGACTAGTTTGAAATATAATTGTACATCTGTAAAATCATGCTCGGCGGGTGCCTTTCAAGCGCTTTCTACAAAGTCAGAGGTGTCAAATGCATAATAGACGCCATGTTTTAACCAGAGATCATCAGATTAGCGTCGCTGCTTTTGCAGTCAGACAGTCGTTGTAAAATGATAATGACGTGTCTTTGTCCTCCCCGTCTGCACTGGCTGACGAGCAAGTGATAGTCATAGAGCAGAACACGGTGGTGTCAATGTTAACGTATCACAACCAGCAGTGATGTGCAGAAACGTAGTGACAGTGGACATTTGTATATCTGAAGTAGACTAATAAATGTAATCTGTCTTTTTTTATCACTCCTAATATATAAAATTGGTGTCATTTAGAAATTATAGAAGAAGAAAGAAGTTTTAAGATCTAAAATAATGACATTGTAAATAAAGATCACATTTCTGTATCAAAGGGGGGGCTGACAATCATATCTGTGATGATGTGTTCTTCATTCTTACTCACATCAAGACATTGTTGTAGATTCAGATGGTAATCTTTGTTGCTTTTAAAAACTAGCTTTTTGTGGGTCTGAGTGAGCACCACAGTAAAAATGTAATGTGCGCGCATAGCACCCCTGTAGATTTTCATTTAATTCACCTTTCAGGCAGCAGTTAAGAGATGCGTATCAGCTGTGATGATGTGATATATCATCTATTTCTTAAATGTTGCTGCACAGCGTCTCTTACAACAGCACGCAGAGGGAGGCTAGATTTCTTCAGTCATACGTGCAAGTCCTTCCTTTTTTTCCAGGTACCTCTCCAGCATGCGACCCAATAACGCGACGCCTGATGGTATAGGCTTGTACGGTGATGGTGTTGGTCATTTCATCACATCCATGCGGTTATTAAATGGCACAGAGGTCAATGTGGTATCTGCCCGTGACGACTTGGATGCAATTACGTGCGCGCATCTATCTAACGTGCACATCAGAATGTGTTTCCCCGAGCAATCGAGAGAGGTTGCTTGCCTGTCAGCCGGATCAGTGGCACCACAGAGCTGAGGCTTTCTCAAAGTCGTCATCATCCACGGTGGCTTCTAACCTTACCAGATGGCCACCGGCCAGATGAGGCCGGCAGATTACAAAGAGCCATCGATATGTTGCTGCCCACTCGGGCACATGTGCATCATCCCCTCCATGCTGGGACACCACGAAAGTCCCCAATAAAACCAGAAAAGGTCGCAGGATTTTTCGCTAGTCGCTTTCGACTGAAAAAGTCGTCAATAAGTCACTGTACCAAATAATGAAGGCGCATCTTTTAACTCATAATTTCAACTTTTTCTCTCATTATTTTCTAGGCCAATTAGCGCTTCTCCCTCCGCAGCGACTACTACGTCCGTTGGACGGTTATTTTGCTGCGTTTATCAAAATATTGTCTAACATGAAACCGATCCGTGAGGCAAAAAAGGTTGTGGACCACTGAGGTAAAGGGGATTAACCAGACTCAACATAATGCATAACATTTTAGATATTCTAATGGGGAAATATTACTTTTAGCATGAATGATGTTAACTCCCTATAAAAAGGTGCATTTTTGCTTTTGTTACAACAAGAGGCACCTTCCACCGTCACTATTACTACCATAGGAAACCTTCAAACTGACAATTTTCCAAGCGTGCGAGTCAGTGAGCATCAACACCGCATGGCAATGACCCGCTCCTGCCCTCCTTCAAAGGCATCGCGGTCATCTCACTGCGGAGGGAACTGATTCAGTCGAGCATCTTGAGATTAGTGCGTGTTGTGTCCTTATGGCTGTGAATCGTGCAGGAAGAACACATTCCTCCTTTCTTTCAGAATATTTGGACCTTGAGGTTGTTTGATAATGTGGGCAGAAAAACTTCCCTTTCCTTTTTGTGCACAAGCATTAGGGATGACTTCTCCCGTCTGTTATTGAATGAAACTAACAGACCTGAGATCGAGGTGCGTTTGGGACACTTTGCCTCGCATGTATCAAACAGATGGAACACTTCTTTTTTCACACCTGATTGGACGCTGTCATACGTTCTAAATGGTTCAGTGCATCCATAGATTTAAAGGAACTGGGTTTGTTGAATGTATTGCCTTTCCGCCATCACTTCCTAGTGGCACTAAATACTAATATGTTAACTAAGGTATCCTTGAACGGAGGTGGTGAAGCCTGCACGGCTGTCCTCCACGTCTTTTGTTTGCCTGCGTCAATATCCGATGCGTAGCGGTGTGGACGTGTTTACACCAGCCGGCTGCGTTTTGTTGTTTGTGTTGCTGCCGCGTTGAAGTGAAAAAGTCTCCACTGATAATGAGGTGTGTGGAGTGTTTTTGTTTGTTGTTTCTATTAAAGTGAGGAGTGTGGCGTGGGCAGAAGTTAGCGGCGCTGCCTCCCTCTTGCTCTTTTAGCTCCAACCAGCTGATGTCGGATCAAAAATAATGATCTATTCTCTTGGATGTTACAGCTAAATGCTACCTATCACACACACACACACACACACACACACACACACACACAGAGGATGGAGCTTGACATTTGTTGGAGCCACACGCATTAAGGAATACACAGTGGAGTTTCTAGTTTGAGCTAAAGGGAATTTGTTTGTCTCTTGTGGATTTCTCCACGCGAGATCTGTGCGTCATCATCGAGGTATGAAGCAGCTCGATTGTGACACAAGTTGACTTGAAGTGGTGCAGGAAAACGATTTCCCCCGAATAATGCGCTATTTGTGAGAATTAGAGGTAACAAAAGGGGGACAAAACATGCAAATTGTTGAGATTTGCTCTCTAAATTATCTAAATTAAACAGCTTGAACAAATTTGCTGTTATATTTTGCGTGTCACAGTGGCAAAAAGTCTTTGAGCAAAATATTTCCACCCCCGGGTGTCCCGTCGTTGTGGGGAATTGGCATGCGCACCTTTCCTTTCTCTCGCCCTCATTTTGTACATCAAAGATGTAATTTCTTGGCCGAATGCCACCATAGATGCTTTCTCCACGAGAACACGCCATTCAGCCTCTACATAATGGGCCCTCCTTTGCACAACAATTTGAGTTATTATTTTCAAAGCAATCTCTCTTGTTATGGTTTTTATGGCCGACTGACGTATACGTGGTATATGAGCGTTAACGTCTGTGCAGGAAGCGAAGTGCAGTTATTCTGTTTTAAGGGGGACCTCAGAATGCATCTGTGGCTACTTACTCAACCTCAGTCAGCATGTTAGCGATAGATACTGATAACATGGCGTTATGTTATGCAAAAAATATATGTATATTGTAGCAAGTGAGTCATATTTAAAAGGATCAAGAAACAAATGAAAGCTCATTCTTCCAGCTTTATACTCAACATAGTCTTGTAGTGTAAGACCTGCTGTGACACTACTATGTTCATGTTGTGCCTGCACAGGAGAACGGATGAATATGTGAGTGTTTCCTAAAGCAATTTGATTTGTGTACCATACCATATTTTACAACGGTCTTTTCTCAAAAGTGTGTTAACTCCCACTCAATAGTTTCAATGCTGGTAATCAAATGCCAAGAAACAAATTGTGATGTAGTTTATTGAGAATAACCATAAAACTAAAGCATATTTCTGCAAATGCATCTCAAATACACCCAACAGAGATGATCCTGGTCCAAAGTTCAGAAGACGCTTGGCAATGTGTCTCAATTATCCTGTGTTTATATTTTCAATTGAGAGTAAATAAAGTCAAGGTTTTTACGCCAGAGGAGACTGTAATGTTTACAAGGCAGTCACACACCGACGAGCAGCAGCTCGGCCTCTGTTTGTACTATGAAACACATGTGATCATCTCGTTTTCCCACCATTAGTAGTCATTTTAGTCAGAATGGAGCCACTATAGCAGAATTATGGGGTTCGGGAGTGTAGCGCGGACGAGCTACGGCACGCAGCTAACGCAGCTAGTCATTAGGTAAACAAATCACTTGATTTCCACATTGGCACAAATTGTGGTCTTGGCAGCACATTCTTTTTTCCCCCCGAGGAAAAGCGACTTCTTGCTTCCCCGTCCTCGTTTCATTTGGTTAGTAGAGCAAGGATGTAGATGGAGAACTCTGCTCCCGCTGGTTCCTTGCAGCCTTCCGCCGGGATGACGGTGAGAAAAGTGGCGGTTCCTGCCCAAATGTGCAGATGTAGCTTCTAATACCGGACTATTTTTTTCTGGCAATGCAGCTTTCTGTCGGAGCCGCCGGCAGCCCAGCCATTCTTTTTACTGAGGTGGAAAACACACACACACACTCCACTCAGCGACTGAGTGTTTGATGTCGAAATGGTCCACCCCATCTTCCTGCGAGCCCTCTATTGCAGCAAAAATGGACTAAATGTCACACTCCACCTGGCCGCTCCGCCCGCCCGCCCCCATGTGTGCCGGCGCGAGTGTTCGTGTACCATGCAGCCATGCATGTAGCAGTAGGTTCTGAAATGGAGCCTTTTCTAGGAATACAAAATGGGGTCACAGATGGAAACGGCTGAACTGCGGTGATTTCTGAGACGGCTGCATGGCGGCGCACGACGAGGCCCTGACCACGGCCCGCGCTGCTGGTGATTGCAGAATCAGCGACTGGACCAGTTGCTCCCCATGGAAACGTCCGATGTCACAGGGGTCTTTGGAGAGGGGTGCGAACCAACGAGACAGGAATAGCCAGAGGAAGATGTGGCACTTGTGCACATAACACACACACACACACACACACACACACACACACACGCACACACTGGTTTTAAACAAAGCACATACACACATCCATGTGCAAAACTGTCCAGGCTATAGGTCAGTTAGTGTTTGACAGTGACATAATATTGTAGTTCACCTCTACCTGAAAGTTGTTGCAAAATCATAGCAAACCTCTCTGTCCTCGTCTCCTCCGTCCGTCTCGTGCCCTTCGATGGACGTGTGGCAGAAAAAAAGTTTAAAGTGTCATATGAGGTTTAATATTTTCAATGTAAAAATATGTATATGTAAAATATATAAGTACCAGTCAAAATGTTGGGGACGCGTTGTGACCACATCACAACTGTGTGTTACCGAGACTTCACTGAAGTAGTTTCTGTGTAGGGTAGACGCGCCTCCATGTCACGTTTGAGGCTACGGTGGAAACCTTGAGGCTGGTGGGGTTTTTTTTGTCCGGCTGCTTGCAGGAGTGTGATTCAGCCCGCAGAGTCTTCCTCTCAGCCCACTTAAAGGAAGCTAGAGACTAAATGCATTCTGATTCAATCATATCCAAATACGTCGCATACAAAGCATCTTTCAATGCAACGTCTCAAGCTAAATTATAAAAACCATTACCATATAAAACTAGTCATAAACAGTTGTAAGAAACATCCTTTGAATTACATGAGTGTTTGCACTGATCTAAGTGGTGGCCTGCTTCAATAAGCAGAACACGGAGTACATAATAAATCCTCAGTCCGATACGGCAGCGGAGAGCCAAAGCAGGGCGATATTGTGACGTCCACGTTGAGATAAAATGTGATGAAGTTACGGTTTAGACAACGCCTCATTCTGTGCCCACCCATGTGCAGCAGAGCAACAATGAATGTTTCCCGGTTATGTAAAGCGCGCTGCTCTTTACCTTTTTTGGATGCCTGGATGAGTTGCGCCACATTAAGTTTAGGTTTGCTCTTGCGTGTGTGTATGTGTGTGTCTGTTTGTGCGTGTTTGTCTGCGTGTCTCCATTCATCAGTATGCAAGCCGACCGAGCAGCTGCCAAGAGCTTAGCAGGCTGTTGCTAGGCAATGCCGTTTAGAACACATCTTTCCCTGTGTGTCGGGATGCAGGGTAGCGGGGTTTGTCTCCCGGTTTCATTCTGAATTGTGGGGTTGGAAACTGGAGTGTTTGCCTTGTTAGTCCCGCACTACATTTCCCCCTCCGAAGCGAGGCTTCGTCGGTGGGCGGCCGGTTTGTCCTCAGATGACTTTCTAAACAAATAGAATTGAGTGGCCATCCAGGGAGCTTTTCAGTCATAAACGTGTGGCTTTTCCATCAGATGATTACTTTTAAAATAATGCCAGTATGCCACATCTCAGTGTGCGACGCTGCAATGCTTCGTACAACTAAAGGGTGCAGAGGGGCCTGTATGCGTGCTTCATTTAACAACATGCACATGTTTTTCTTTGAAGTGATAATCTCCAGTGTGGGAACACAAATACATCTCTGCTGTCCTCTGTCACGGGTTGATCCAAGACAGCAGCTGTTCAATCGATACCCGGGTTCTGCAGTGTCTTTCGTTATCTACTCTTAGCACACCAGGTCTGATAAGTGTTGGAATTAAGTCTGCGCCCTCCATTGTGCCAGTCGCTATTATTTTTCCTTCTTGTATGGAAATCATTTAACCTGCCAGAACAGCAAATCAAAGGAAAGGGGCTCAGTGAAAAGCTTGATTGATGGGTGATGTGAGGAGTAAGATGCAACGAGGCGGCACTTCCTGTCCTGTGAGGAGGGACAGCTGCGCCCTTTTTCACAGGTATATCTTATTATTAACAAAAGCAATGTAAAGAAAATCATTTAAGTTGAAGCTTTTGCTGAAATTAGCCCACGGATGTCCATGAAAGTCTGTCCAACAGTGGGACGTGTCAGAGTCGGTCTGGTATCACCAAGTTTCTACAGTGGACCTCGGTGACCAAATGTGCGATGGCCTTTGATTCCTTAAATGAAGGGCTGATCCAGGGAAAAGCTGGATTATCCAACATAATCCAACAAAACATTTCTTCCTTTTTGTTTATTCCCTTGGTAGTGCCCATGCGGTCTGTTGGTGTCGGGAGCTTAGTCAGTCATTATGGAACTGGATTCCTGTGAAAACATTAGCAGAGCCAGTGTCGAGGCCTCTGGCGCGGCTGTACGGCACTGACAGATGGGCTTTTCAAACCCGCTGCCCAAAATCACACCCAGATTTAAGCATTGATCCTTCTCGCGCTGCCACCTCAGCGACTCTTGCACCTAGAGATAATGCAAGATTGTATCGTTGCCCAGTCGGGGTTTATTGGCAGGCTAATGGCACTAATCTAACCTCAATCTGAATTGCGATACATGTGGATTTGCAGCTGGTGGTAGTTCTTGAGATCAGCGATGGAAGGCCAGCGGATGCACTGCTGCAATGTGATAGTTTTACACACACGCTGTTCATCGCCACGGTGTCAACTGCACAGCGTCCTCACTTTTGCTCAGTATGGAGAATAGATATTCTCTGAAGTACGTATTGAACACCTTACACATTACAAATCATTTTAAACCAGCCTCACTGAAACAAGCTGTTATCAAACTATCTTCTAAGACTATTCATAGCTAATTGTCTTTAGGCGGGATATCCTCGCACCAAAACACAGCAACTGAAGTTTGACTTGATTTTCAGTTGGATGATGTGAATATGAGGATTCAATGAACAAAGTAAACAGCAGAAAAGTGGGAAAAAAGACATTTTTTAATTGGGGAACCAGATTAAAGTGAAAGTGCACGACCAAAGCAGCCCAACCTGAGTCCATCAGGAGACGGGAGGGTTAGTGAAGTGGTGTAGGAGGATGGAGGAGAGCGTTGGGAGGGTGACGGCAGGTCATTCTGTCATGGAGTGAATGGAGTTTGCTTCCATCGTTAAAACTCAAAAGAGCATTTTTGAAATACACCCTCATCGCACGCTGCGGAAATAAAGCGCTGGTAGAAGGAGTCCCTGTTGTCGGCGTTGGGAGGCAGAAAGGCAACAAAAAAAACCTGGATGGAATCAGAGGGGGGGTAGTAGATAAGTGGATGAGAGGAAATAAGAATAAAGAAGGAAAAGGAAAGGAAAGGAAAGAACATCAACAAGGAGGCGGCGTGTAGGTCCAGCCTCTCCGCTGGAGGGAGACGAGTAGAGAGATGGAGGCATGAGTGCATGGGTAGATGCAGGTGAAGGAGGACAGGTAGCGGGGAGCTGTGTGGGAGGCGCAGGGAGAGAGGGGTCATCGCTGTGATTAGTGGTCAGCCTCCTAGCAGCTTCTGGAGGCCAATTAGAAGGGAGGTGGGAGGAGGTGGGAGGAGGTGGGTACGGTGGAGGAGTCCCCGCGGGCGCTCGCACCAATTCACTCATCGCCGCTGACACAGGGTTCACACAATAATCAAAGCCCCCAGACCCTCAAACACGCACACACACACACACACACACACACACACACACACACACACACACACACACACACACACACACACACACACACACACAGGTGCATTCTTAGTCTGGTGGCCCCATTTTAATCAAATGTGTTACTTGAATTATTAATAATAATATATATCTTTTTAAGCTGACATCCACGGTACATCAAAGAAAGTGAACTGATGTTGCTCACCGTTGCTTGTTCAGTCAAAGCAACTTCTCTCAAAATAAAATGACAACATTTTGTTGTGATAAAAAGTTTATTTGGATATTTTGATTAGAAGACCGCTCTATTAGACGTTGAGAACACATGTTTTAATTTGCATATTTTAGCAATTTGATTGTTTTATTTTTTTCTCATTTAGCTAGGTAAGTTATTTATGTCACAATCTGAATCCTTTGACAATTGCGTATCCAATAACACAGTAACACACAATAACAAGTCTCGTCCAATAATTATTTAGACTTGACACAGCTTCCCAGTGCACAATACGGCTGCTTAATTACCATTTGGATATCTGTCACTCACGGTGGGCGGTTGTGGGTGAGTGGGGGAGCACGGTCGTCCTCCAATCAGAGGGTTGTCGGTTCGATCCCAGGCCCGGCTGACCCGCATGTCGTTGTGTCCTTGGGCAAGACACTTAACCCAACATTGCTCCTGTAGCTGCGACTACAGTGTGTGAATGGTAGTTACTGATGGCAGGTGTCACTGTGTGTGGTTCTCCTGTCATCAGTGTGTGAATGGGTGTGAATGGGTGAATGATGTCATGTAGTGTTAAAGCGCTTTGAGTAGTCAGAAGACTAGAAAAGCGCTGTTCAAGTACAGGCCATTTACCATTTACCATTTACTTGTGTTGCTTTTGAATTCTTGAAGAAAAACTATATTCAGTCTTCTTGCATGCCTCCACGGTGAATTAAGAATCACTAATGATTCGGACAATTCATTAACGAATTGTTGAGCTTCGGAGTTCAACTAATTAGTACAGCTATGCTACACTTTTCCCTCACATGTGCAAGTGAAATGCTGACAGTGTCCGGCTGCCGGAGAGCCACAGAGTGCCGAGTTTGACAAACCCGCACTAGAGAAGAAAAGAAAAGCGTCAGCTCTCAGGTTGTTTTTAGCCGATAGGGTTCATTAAAATGTGTCCAGATGGGCCCAGTACTGATCTTTAGGACCCTCTGGAGACATCGCGCCCTAATGATGATTGGATATAGATCAATATAGACTTGTGTACATGGAAATGCATTCAAAAATATTACTGCCGCAGTTATTACAAAACTAAGGGGTAAGTCTTTTTCTTTCTGTGTGTGTACATTATAGGTGTACGTGTGTGTGTGTGTGTGTGTGTGTGTGTGTGTGTGTGATCCACATCATGACCTTGAGTTCATCACCACCCCTGCAGTGCTGGAAAAGTTCCTTTTGAAGTGCAAACATCTCAGAAAGGGGACACACACCTACAAACACACACACACACACACACACTGGTGAATAACAATCAGATGCCTCCATGAGTTCAGCCTGAACCTTTGAAACGGCTACATTTTCATCTGCAATTACGTTTTCCTGACTTTGGGGAAGTTGGCATTGACATCCGTTCATTTCTTGGAGACTTACCATAACCGCTACTCGCCTGATGTGACCCTTAAGGTTTAAGGGTAAAATGTAATGAGATACGTTACGGGGGAATAGCAATAACAAAGTCAAGTGCCCACAATGTGGCCGTGTAATCTGATTTACAGTATCTGCCCAGAAAACGGGTAGGACACACACACACATTAGCTCTCCCTGGAAAATTGTGACAATTTCCTGCAACTGGAGACCTGATTATCTGCCGGTGAGCCAATCGGGGCTCACCAATGTCTTGACCAATAGGTGCTGCAGTGCTGCGTTGCGTCTAAGGAGAAGGGAACAAGGAGCCAGTGCATATGCTGTAATGGATTTTGATCATAATGTAATGGATCAGACAGAATTACCTTTAAACCACAAGCTAGTATATATATATATATATATATATATATATATATATATATATATATATATATATATAATTAAAAAATCACAGCCCGTCTCTTAATCCTGCCCCCTCCCGTCCTCCCGTCCTCCCGTCCTCCCAGCACACAGAAAGACGCAGCCATCCTGAAACACCAGCATGTCAGAGAGAGTTGTCATCTGAACTGAGGCTCTTCTTAATCTGTGTGCTCGAGGCATTATGTGTGCGCTTCAGATTTAATTCCATTCTTGCACTTTCCAGAACTGCGCAGTGTTTAAAATACAGATGCTTGACATGAATCTTGACCTTACCCATCAGCACGATAAGCAGAATATTCACTCCTTTAGTTGCGATGCCAGCTACTGATTCCGGCCCAGGCAACAACATTAAAGGGGCCGTTGAAATCTTGCCGCAAAATAAAAAGTGAATTTGTGTCCCTCAGTCACATGCAATAAATTGAATGTGGCTCGAGCCTTGATGAAATGCCTTTTCTAATTGATCTCGTAATCGTCATTTAGGGTGCTGTGTAAAGATACACATTAAGATCGGCCGCCCACTACACTCTCACTCAATAGCCAACTATTTAAGTACTTAGCCAACAGCTGCCTACGCAGTAAAGAATATTATTTAGAAATAGTTATAATATCAGCAAAGCGTTTCAGAGATGGAAATAAAAGGGTGCTAATAGTTTAGCTTCTGTCAACCACGCAGCCAAAGGATCACAGCTGCTGCCGACGTTAGCTGAGCGCTAAACTTTGAGCCCTCCATCTGTGAGGCGCTTTGCCGGTATCGCATTTTACCAATTGAAAGTCTGAGCCATGCTCCTTCGCTCTAGGCCGCCATGAACACAGCGAGGAGACGTTTTTTTGATGTTTTACTTCAGCCTACCACTCTCGGGCGGCTGGTGTTTGCCTCCAGCCTCTGCTTTGTTTCGCCTCCGGCTATAACAGCGTGACGTCAGCAGGTGTGGCACAGTGGCAAGATTCAACTTTGGTAATATCCGGCTTATTTCCCTGTGTGAATACACTGTATTTTTGTGGGTGATATTTGCAAAGTTATTCCCTGAACTTTGCCCTTTTTGCATGCCATGCATCATAATTTCAATAACTAGTGATTTTTTTTTAAATATGGGAACACAGCGCTCATGCAGGTTGATCCTACAAGGTCTTTACATCAGAAGAACCGTGCCTGCTGCTGATGACCAGAGCGCGTGTGCAAGGGCAATCAAAGCGGCCATTAGATACTTTGGGAGAACACTACAATGAGACAATAAAACAGCAACAAATCTAGTTAACTGGTACTCTGTGGCTGCGACACCTCTTGAACCATTTTAAAACGTTGGAGAGGCACACAGAGCACGTTTCAACCACCAATTTGACCACTTAGATTGCAAGTGTGACGCCGGCCCGTGTTTTAATATAACTGAATTGTCTATGCCTCCATTTGTGGAGGTCATAACATTAAAGAAAATATTGGTGCTGTCACGTAATAGAGACACAGGAAGACAAGAATCCCTTCAGTTTAAATGCTCCACCAATGTGCACTTTGCTGAAGCGAAGGCAACCCACTCTGGTGTTGGCTGACAGTATCGCATTAATGACAGTAATCGGTCAGCATGTCATAAACCGACACACTCTTTGCATTTCCTTTTTCCAACATTGTGAGGGAGGAGTATTTTATGCTGCAAGTACAACATGTTTGATGTTTTTCCAACAACGCCTCGCACTCTTTCAAGTGTTTAAAAGCATCCTAGATGACAGATGTCCCACCAGGCTGAGCTCATTCAGCGCCGCTCCTTAGACACATGCGTTGGGATGGAGTGGGGAGATGTCTGAAATCCTGCGAGTGGGGGGGACTTTTTATTTTATTTTGCTTAGTCTATATTTAGACCAGAGCCTTTTTTCCCCTTTGCCACTCCGATGGAGATCTAAGAACAGGTACGTAGAGCCATCACCAAAGACAGAGAGGCGCGTAGACGGAGCAAGTTCAGGATTCAAACCCCCCTCTCTCGAGAGTCGAAGGGAGATGTTGACTGATACTGAACGCAGAAGTACAGGAAGAGGGATGGAGAAGAGAAAGTAAAGAGAGGCTGTGTATTATTCCAGCTCTAGTAAATGAATCCTATTAAAGCCTTTACCGAATACAATGAAAAGTTCGCCACAATGAAAAGTTTGTATTCTAATCAAGCAGAGACAGACACATGCAATATTTGAAGTTGTGCTATAAGTGCAGAATGCGCTTTCTTTTTTTATCCGCAATTATGGGTCAACACGTGCGCAGCAAGAGAGCAGCGCCGGCAGATCTTTCGCTATGAACACCGCCACTCTTATTTTCAAAAGAGTAAATCCTCCTGAAACGTAATGTCCCAGAATGCCAATGTGTGGCCATACTGACTCCACAGAGAGTCACTGTAGCAATGGTTTGTCAGAGTGTGTTGAGCACGGCTGTTTAGTGACGCCTTGTGCACTAAAGCCAATTGACTAATGTTATTTCTGTGATAAACAGTGTAGTGGTGAACCGACCGGTTTTTAACAAGCTCCCTGTGCAAAGGAAACCATAGATCGGAGATGATGGATAGTTGAAGAGGGTGGAGCGTCTATAAAAAATTGTTTTGCAATTGCACACTCGAGAGGATAAATCCACCTGACATCTGTTATTCAGGTGTTGTCAAGCTGATCTCAACTCATTCGGAATAAATACAAGTTATACAAGCTAACAAATTCCCAAAGGTCTCCATTTAAGGGTCAGTTGGAGACATTGGCATAAAAACGGGGATTGTGGACTATTTTCATGTATGGTTCAGAGGAAGTTGGGGCTGGTGGGGGACGTTTGCAGGGACCAGGCTCAGCATCAGAAATGAAATGTGAGGAGCTTATTCTCCAATTATAACTTCCACCACGCCGGGAGTTTAAATGTGACTGTGGATTTTTAGAGATTTTTTTTTGTAATGAATCCCTTCTCATGCATATCCCTCTCATTCTCCCCCCTCGCCTCCCAGTGGTCAGCAGGCCTTTCTGTTGGAGAACGTGCCCTGTAACAACGCCAGCTGCCATGGCGTTGGGAGGATGTTCCAGATCCTCTGGGACCAGTCGGATTTGGGAGCCATCCAAAATGCCGTCATGGCAACGTTCTTTGACATCTATGAGGACGTGAGTGGTTTGTGTTGAGTTGATGTTCAAAGACGTAAAGCACCGCCTTTCCTCTCCTCCCTCCGTCTCTTCACACCTCTTACTCTCCTCTAAATTTCCCACAGTTTTTGTCCGTCGATGCTGTGGCTTTGACAACGTCTCCAGTATTAAATAGGTTGATGCCAAAGTGAGAAGAAAATGAATAAATCTCAAAGAGTACACAAGAATATTTGCAGAAAAGTGGATTATGTGTAAATCTTTGTCGTGAACAAAATGATTTAAGTTTATTCCTTTAATGCTCAGAAGTAATATTCCAGACTCAGACAGATTTGTTTCTAATCAGTAATGTGGTCTAAAGCCCATTCTTCAGCTCTTTTGCGAGGATACTTTACTCCATCATTTCCAGCTTTGCGTTTAAGACAAAGCACCATCATTTAGCCTATTTTTCACCTTTTTCAAGTGTGTTTTCCAACTGTGTGTCCATGGTAACAATGGTGATGCCTTTTCTTTTTTAAACGATGCACCGGTTAGAATGCAAAACACACTTTGTCTTAAAAAAATATAGATTGATGTAATTGAGGGGGCAAACTAATAAATATTTAGTAGGATTAGCAAGGCATAGCTTTACTTAATCTGGTTTACTACAGCAATATGAAAACAAAATAAATTGCTATCGCTCTGTTTTAATTGCAGTAAATGAATCAATGGAAATTGGCAATGCTACAATTACTAGAGAACATGATGCCGATCTGTAAGAGATCTGCTGTCAGGTCTGCCCACAAGACATCAAACAAACAAGTTTTAGAAACTCGAGATCAGTCAAGAATGTGCTTTGCTAACGCCGTAGCTGCTCCATCCACTGTCAAAATAACGCCATGCGAGCACAAGTACGGCAGTCACGCACATTCATACCCATCCGATGCGACGGTCTCTGGACAATCAGCGGTTACAGTGATATTCATATTTTACCTCCTTCTCTGGTTCAGCGACGTCCATAGAATCCCACCGCTGACAGACTTTCCCACAACGCAGCCAGATTTCTCAAGCCAGTGGATCAATTTCAACACGCGTCCATTGGCCTCACGTGCATTATAAGGAATTCTCCGTTGTGAACACACCATTACACGCGGTTACACACAGAATGCGCGAGATGCTGCAATAACAGCCTGCCGCGCCTGCCCCTTCTTATCGGAATTAATTATTACTGCTAATGCGGCCTGTCTGTTAAGACTCAGCCCGCTCGCTCTGTTTGTGAGGGAATGTACAAATGGGAGAGAGAGAGAGACACAAAGTGATGAGAAGGAAGAAGGGGATGAATAAAGAGATGATGAGATAATTTCCTAATCAGTGTGTTAGAGGAGTAAAGATGTACATCTCACACACACACACACACACACACACACACCAGGCTTCTATTGTCCCTCATCTGGGTGCCTGTCTTCATTTTCAGGGTATATTAGACATGCTGGTTCTAAGCCAAGCAGAGGACAAACACGACTTGATCATCCACGCTTTGAAGAACAATTACGAGGCGGATGCCTACTTCGTGAAAGTGATGGGTGAGTGACTGAGTTGCCGAGTTCCTTTCTCCTCTCTCCACGCGCCTAAACCAGCTCGCTGGACGGGCCCACAGAGAAAGAGCCCCCTCGCCTCCTCCTGTCTTCTTCTTCACAAATCACATTGATGGAAATACAACTGAAGTTTCAATATTATTATGGTTTAGTGTATTCCTCTTTTTGTTTTAGCATGGCCGTTCCCCTCAGACCAATTAGAATCACTGAACACAAGCAGCTCTTTTCCCAGGCCCAGAAAACCAGATGGCCGCAACTATTATCCGTCATGTTTTTTTCCATTCCTAGCCTCGAGCTGCTCAGTCGGAGGACAACGGGGGGTCTCGTCTGAGCTTTTGGTTCTATTTCAACCTGCATTAATACCGTCAATCCTCCTTCCCGGGGTCTCCACTTTAAGTCCGTATATTACTCTCAACTGTAAATAGAGCGCGGCACACGGCTCACAGTCCACCTGTGCAAGAGTGGGAGCAGAATAATGGTCGGTAAAATTGAAATTGATTATGTTTTACTTGCTGGAAACGTGCACAAAATAAAAGTCGCACATATTGTTCTGGAAGTGCAAACCCCGTTGCTTCTGCAGTCTGACTGCCTTGTTTGTGCCAGTCTCGCTTTTGTTTATTTTTATAGATTATGTGTGCCTTTCTTATGTTATAATGTTGTACTACTGTTTCACTCTGTGTAGCTATAAATCCTGGATGTGGAGTCAGACAGGCACCTTTGCTGCATGTCAGGCTCCTCCCTCTCTCCACATGTAACCCGTCACTTTCCACTTTTGACTGCCTGATGAAGGTGTCAGAAATGCCAGAAAAATACCCTGAAATGTTCACTGATTCAGGGGAGATAGCGCACACCGCTGGTGCAATATACTGCATTCCCCCCGCACTTTAAAGCCCGTATGCACAAAGTGCGTCTGGCTTGAAGCAACCGTAGCTTCAATATCTGTGTGCGATTTTGTTTTCTATTTTTGTCTCGCTGCTTTTTTGTCTCAGTTAATAGAAGCATTTTCTCGCCTTCCTTATTGGCACAGTGTTTGAGTGAAATTGAAGGCGCTGTCTTTTGAAGTTAAAATGTTGGCACAGCGTTAGTACCTAGTGACATTTGAGGAAAGCAAAAATAGTCCCGCTCAAGGGTGGGCCTCTGCACAGTTTAATCTGTCACTCTCCTCTGCTCATTAGTAGCAAAAGCAGCATTGTTCATCCCTTTCTGTTGCGGAGCAGTTTGCACACATTGGAGAGGGGGTGGGGGGGGCTACTTAAATCATCACCATGCCTTGTGAAGCACACTTACAGTATGTAATCATTATTAGCATTACATATACACATTTGTACTAATACGCTCTGAGATAAATGTGTAACACAACAGTATCTCTGATATAATGCAGACGCCACACTGTTAAGCTGCAAACTGAGAATGAAGAAAATCAAAAGCCGACAGAGAAAAAGCAGCAGAGGCAAATACTTGGCTTCACAATAATTCATTAATTCAATTGAATTGATTACAATACACAATGAGACTGTGACTGTGACCGTTTTACTTTGATGGGTGATGCTACACAACTTAGGTCTGCAACGGTCAGGTGAGCTCCAGTCTGCAGCTAGCATTGGATGAGCACAGCTGTCTGCAGTGTGGAGCTCATTGGTCAGACAGAAGGGCTCTCAGTGAAGTTGTAAGCAGCTCGTCACCGTTAGCAGAGAAACATATTTCTCATTTGGCTGAAACAAGCTGGTGTTGTGATGATGCTCAGTAGGGACTCATTGAGTTTATAGGCCATTCCTTCTCCTGCAGGTTTTCTTAGTGGCTCATTAGATCTCCCTCAGGTTGAAGAGGAGCAGTGATGCAGGGTTCAGATCATATCCTTTGTCCATATATTCCAAATGCTTCCCGTCTTGTGTTCTTATGTGGACTAACTCGTGGCTTTGGGCCCCGCAGCAGGCTCATTGTACACCAGATCCAGGAGAAGTGGACCCAACAGGAGCAAGCCAAAAATCATCAACAATGAATGGTTCCGTGTGAACAGTATGTCTAGCCGCCCCCAATAGAATCAATTCCTCTTGTGCCGCCTCCCTGAACCCCGCTGTTGTTTTCCGTTATCCACGTCTTGACTCGGTGCAGCACATCAACGAAAACACACGGATACTCCCACACCAAAGCCTCCCCTCCTCCTTTATACGACATCAGTCATTTCACGTTCGGCGGTGTATTTTTCATACGTGTTCGGTGTTGCGTTTGCTAAATCTAGCCGAGTGCAGACTAACGAAATGAAAATGTATCCGTCAAGTGTTACACCGTGTCAACTTTTCATTCCCCTCCCCTGTGAACGCGAGCTCAGATGCATCTCAATAGCCTCGTACATCGCGTGACTGCCTCCCCCCCCTCCCCCCGAGGGGAAGAATAGTTTACGTTCTGTTCTTTTGGGGCGTCTCTGATAGCGTTACACCGTGATAAGTGCGTCTGAGTGGGTGAACTCCATGTTCAGAGTGACGCGTTCTGTCAGCCAGCAGTGGGTCTTTGCAGGCGGCCCGATCCAGACGGAGTCTCAAGATGACGCCGCTCAAGCCTCCCCAGGGCATTGTTGAACAACACTCGCAGAAGGATCGACTCTGTGTCCGACCCTCTGTGTGTGTGTGTGTGAGTGACAGCTAAGGTCCCAGGATGCAGGCGGGCTTCCCGAGGTTAATCCCTCTCAGGTCGGCCGCGGGGAGCAGCTTCGCCTTCTCGGTCTGTCAGACGACCTCGACGTGTTTTTTTTAGATGACCTGATCCAGCACCGGTCTCACATCCTACCATGCGCCCGACATGCAGCAGTTCACAGGCTCGCTCGTTCCATCAAGGCCTGTGCGTCTTTTGCCATAGGTGCATATTTTATTTCAGAGCAGATTAGAGGGGTTTTGCTGCACAGCCGACGCTGTCGGGTGTAAAAATGTGCTAATCATCGTCATTTACCTAATTTGACTAAATATGCATTCCACATTAGATACATTCTATTTATGAGATACATTCTATAATGCCTTCGGAGCAACGCTGATGCTTTTTTGCTTTTATTTTGACCACACGTATGTTTGGTTGTAGGGAGGTCAGTGGGCTGGTCCACCACTTCGGTTCAGACTGACGTATCTCATCAACGTGATTCTTTGCATTTTATTGAATCTGAAATCCACATCGTAGAGGAGACATAGACATACCTCTTAACATACGCAACTCATACATTCATTGTTTTCGTGTTTTTAAGGAACCTAGAAAGGACACGGATCCCCGTCAAGTCTTACACAAAGCTAAGTGGTGCCACTTTGAGCTGAAAGAGGCGATGAGGTTTGCAGGGTGGACAGATGGATGGATGATTACTGCTGAAGAGACGGGAGAAATCATAAACTCCATCTCCAAATGGAGATTGGGAGGGGGTATCTGCATGAGTGTGTGTGCGTGCGTGTGTGTGTGTGTGTGTGTTTAGAGAGGAGGAGAGAGAGTGACAGGCAGAACTGGATGGGTTGATTAGTTTCCTGCTCATTTATTAGGATGCAGATTAGCTGCATTGAGAAACATCTGGGAGCCTTTCTCAGACCCAAATGCCCCCACGCCCGCCTCCTCCACCAAATCCAGCTCATCCGCTTCCCTCTCCTCTCTTGTTCGCCCATCGTCTCCTCGTTCATGGCCTCGTTTGTATCTCTCCCCCCCTCTAACCCGCTTCATTGTTGTTTTTTTCACTCACCCCTCGTCCTGCCCTCACCCCTCTCTCCGGCAACTTGTCTTGTTTCCTGTCCCTCTCTCCGCCTCTCTCGGCCTGTCAGTCAGCAGCGCTGCCTTTTATTCCCTCCTTTCATGTCATTCAAACGCCAACGAGGGGATTTTCGCGATGTCTCTCAGCGCGCCGCCGCCGTCCGGAGGAAGATTTGCCCGCAGGCTGTGTGCTCAGTGCGGCGTGAACACTCTTTTCAGCGTCTGCTGCGGCGGCGCACAAAGGCGGCTGAGTAGGAGCACCTGCTCGCGTGTTTGTCAAAATAGCACCGGCTCACGTTGACAATTGAAGCCTGCAAATATGACGGCTGCACGGCAAAGCCTACGACATCTCGCTGACATTTCCTTCATTGCCTACTAGGGGCAGTAGTTGAGATTTTTATTGTCTTATGATCCCTCTCCTAGAAGATGTGTTATGGTCCCACCTCTTGGGAATCCATGGAGCCAGGCACCTGTTTTGCCATCATATCAGCCTTTGCACATCCTGATCAAAAGTGAGAATACCAGCAGCAGTGGTGAGATCATTGTGAAAGCAATCAGTTCAAAAGGAGACCTATAACCTTTTCCACTCATTTGGGGTCTTTGGAGGGCCAACCAACCCTCAATCTGTGAGACAACACAGTGTTTGTCACTACAAGCCATTCTGATTAGAATATCCTTCCTATGTCACATGCAGGCTGGTGAGAAATTACACTGTTATTATTCATGCTATTATACACTAGTATTTATATGTAGCATTTGTCTCTGTCGTTTGAATTCTGTTACACATCATTCTGGTTCATTTTTCGAAGACATTACATGTCAATTGCTTGCAATTTTCCGGTTGCAAGTTTCTGAACAGCACATTTGATCACACCATGTAATGTGCTGCCAACCAAAGTACCTCCACACAGTTGGCCTCTCTGAGCATGGTTCGCTTTTCTTATTGATAGTATTGATATGGCTAATTAACTTGGCGGTCACATTGCATTTGTGGTGTTCCTCCAGAAGTAGAACCATGTAGAAGCCACTGCCAGCTGTTCGGGGACACTGAGCTGCAACAACACTATAATGATGTTACCCAAAGTGAGCAGGCGGCGGCGGCGGGGGGGGGGGGGGGGGGCTCCCTCCGGGATCTCAAACCTCCCGGCAGGACACTGCTTTGTCTTACTTACATTTCGACCAGACAAGACCACAACCAAGTATGTCTAATGTGGGCAAATGGGGACATTTTCTCTCAGGCACACATGAGGAAACCAGTTTCACTTGAGTCATTTTATAGGAAAAAGTTTTTAATACCCAAATGTTCAGTGCTATTTGCCAGACAGTTAAGCATGGGGGGAGGTATGTGTGTTGTGCCCGTGCGTGTCCCTGCAGCTACAGAAGCAGCCTGAGGACAATGAGAAGTGATGAGCATCTCAGAGCAAGCGGCGCTCAGCTGTCAGACTGTTGTGTGCCGCTTGGCTCTCGCTGACTTGCACTTGTAGCCACTAGCGCTGACACGGCACGTCATGTTCCCCCGTCAAGGTCTGCTCATCGCATTTTGCTCTTCATGCATGTGTGTGTGTGTGTGTGTGGGGGCGGGCGTCTGTGTGTGTGACGTCAGCTGACCGGGCGGCTCAGGGTTGTGACGTGTGCGTTAGGTTACCATGACTCCCTCTAGGTTCTTTTTATAGAGTGCCAATGAGGACACAACTCCAGGTGGGCTCCAAAGCAGAGAAAGGTAACCTCTCTGTCGCACACATTAAATAGTCAGGTATCGAAGATATATTATAGGTATATAGATATATATATACTGCTACTATTACATGAAGAGAAACTTTTTGGAGTGGAATGGCACTGGAAGATCATGACTGAACTATAACGGCTCCATGTTTGTATCATGCATAAGAGATACTGGAGATGTTCAATTCAAAACAATTCAATTTGTTGTGCAAGATGCATTCACAAATACAAAATGTGTATCGTTACAAAAAGAAAGCAGAGCTTGAAAAAGGGGTCCGGTCCAAGCAAGGGCACCAGCAGTGTGGGGCAGGAGCAGTTGGCTTTAGATTTGTCCTCACATATGTGGTTATCATGTATTCTTTTTTGACTCTTGATGAGGCACAACACTTAATTCCGGTTTCAATTATTGGCAAGATGTCAAGCGTTTGCCTAAAAATGATCACAAAGTCAAATGAAATGGTTGCTTGTGCATGTGCTTAAAATAACACCTGGCACCTCATTTATATTTCATGTAAACACATCAGCCCCTGACAACACCTCAAACGTCTGAAATGCATTCACCCAAACTTGGCTGGCTGCACCGGCTCGCAGTGTTGTACAGAATGTAAGAAATAGATTCTCCGCATTTAATATAAGACCCTCCATCTGAGGGGTCTGGGTTTTAACAGGTACATTTACAACAAACTCCTAATGTAACCTTTATTCAACACGTCTGGCGCGGAGTAGCAGGAGTAGCACTGAAGCGGTCTACTGCGATGACTCCGTGGTGAGAAATGACCTGGTTCCTTGTGTCCCGGGTCACAAACTGGCAGCACAGATTAACAGCAGCGCCCTCGATAGTTGCAGGCTTCTCTCAACAACAACTCGTTCTACCCAGGAACTAAATCTAAATCATTACTCACCACTTCAAATGTGAAAACCTTGAACCACATGAGTAAATAAAAGCCCTAAACACGAATGTAAAACTAGCTCCTGGATGCTTCCACCTCCAACATTGTGTGTGTGTGTGTGTGTGTGTGTGTGATTTATTTACTTAAAACGCGCAACCGCCTTCTTTCCCCCGACTCACAACCGACATTCAGGAAACGCCGTTCACTCTCAATGTGATGAAAGCACAGACACACACTGAGGGCTCACAGTTCGCCCTTCACTCGATTGGTTTTGTCCTGTGAAGGAGCTGCCATCAGTCTTAATATCAAGGTAGAAAATTGGCTGTTTGTGTTGTGCGTGTGCGTGCATGCGCATTCACGCATGTGGGCTTGTCCTGGCCATGGAAGCGCTGTTACGTTGTTACATGTCGGCCAGAGATTGAATTATGGACCCTCATGGAAACTCACATTTTGTGTAGTTACAGACACGCGCACACGCACTCAACTCACAACTTCTACCGTCTGGAGCGGCAGCGAGCTCAGTGACTTATGAAAACTTCTGCATCCACGCAGTGGATGTCGGCCTTTGTCCCTTTTTGTCTGTGTGCGTCAGTGACGTTCTGTTGTGAAATCGTTATTGTTGCACGCGTCTGTTTCCCACCTCGCGGGCGTGTTTGGTGGCGTCGTCTCCACTGAGTGCCATGATTTAGCTTCATCACATCCAGGCTGGGGATTTAAGCATCACTAAAATGGGGAGTTTTGTTTCTCATCACATAAACACTGATCGCCACCCGCGTGAATTCCTCTCTAACTTGACAGTAAACACACCTCACGTCACCGGTTTCCCAAGTGCGACCTCTTTGAGGATGCGTTTCACGTCCGCGTACCTCGGCGTGTGTATTTAAGGTTGCTGCAAGCAAATGAACGCTGTCAATGACGCGAGCTGGCGGTTGGTGTTGCTGCAGGGACTCTGGGAAGTGCAGTTTTACTCACTTCTGGTTCCGTAACAGACGTGCTGCCACCAGTGAAGCTGGTACGGCCTTGTGTCCCATGTCCTCTGTCCCTGTAATCCCAAATGCGACTGACTTCCAACAAATGACGGGCAAATCCTTCTACGTTGTCATTGATCTACAGCGGCGCAGACGGTCATGCCTCCAGCATGACCCCAAGACAGCATGTAATTCAAACAAGCAGCGAATGATCCGATCGATCAGTAGTGATCATCGGCCTCCTTCGCAGAGGACTTTGGTCCAAAGCCTGTGATGTGTTAATGTGGTGTTTGACGGGCAGTATAAATACCCAAAGTCTTGGATCTTTTATTTAGATGATGCAACAACCTAATGATTTTTATTTTTGCTTAGCTAAGCTTTATAACTGGAAACCGCCGCAGGCCCTTTGGCACTAATAGCAGTCACTGTAGATTTCTCTCCCATTCCACACTGAGTAAATGGTTAGAGCCATTATTGAAGTTTTTACAGGTTCATTAGAATATGAAAAGTTTGTGGTCACTGTGGGTCTATTTCGATATGCTTGACTTAAAAAAAACTTTTTATTGACCCGTTGGCAGTTTTCATTTTTCTACAATACTTTCGTGATTGCTAAACGTGCTTTGAAGCGACAACAAAGGGCTCAATAACAAACCACCGATTTTTGTTCACAGATTTAAGCCGAAACCTGTTTATCGAGGACGTTAAGTAGCAGCACATATGTGGTGTGGTCGGTTAGGGTCAAGGAACAAATGTTTGCCTTTGATGGGAGCTCCATCTGAATTCCCCCTCAGGCACACAATTAATACGCTTTTGAACTTCAAAAGGGGCAAATTTGCCCTTGCCAGATATTCCTTTCAATCAAAGCTTTGAAAGTAAAGGAAAATCTTGTGTATTTACAGATTTAATGGAAGAAGGCAGGGATGGAATGAGGATTTCTAAAATGGCCGTACACATTTTCAGTCAGATCTGCCAGCCACCAACAAAAGCACAGTCTCCCCGACTCCCGAAACACTCTCTACAATATCTACTTCATCACAGAATGGCACATTGGCTTCCGGGCTCCGCCGCAGTCCGTCCACTGCAGATGCACTTTCCTAATTGAGGATAAGCAATTTAGATATTATAGCATTAAATAAAAAGTAGCATATTAACATTTGATCACAGAGATATTTTGGCCCCCATGATGGGGGAAGACAGAAAGTCTTCAAGGAGTTATTTCCATTCGTCCTCAAGTGAATGCAGTGAATTTCATGGCAATCCAACAACAACTAGAAAGATAGAAGCTCAACGCCGTATTAAAGCCTTTCCTACCACTCGCCATGATGGCGCGCACATATTCCAAACAGTGCAGAAGAATGAATAGAGTAATCAGTGGACATGGAAGGGTGGAGGAAAACACAACGAGCGAGCCACTGACAGTGACTGTGACGAGGGACCTGGTGTACATCGGAGCGGCGCCGGGGTCACCTGTCGGCGCCGCGCATCAGAAAACCCATTTCAAAGAGCCTTTACATCCCTTAAAACCCAGTACGACATAATTACGGCTCCCCCTTTATAGTAAATGTTTGTGATTAATGTTTGTGTGTTGTTTGTGGCCAATTAGGACCGAACAATCCGGCAGCGAGGCCTCATCCTCCCACGAGTGAGTCGGGGTCGCTGCGATGTCGCCTTTGAATAGGTGCATTGAGTTTGGCTGCTATTCAGCGCAGCGCCGGGGGGGCGACCTTATTAACGGCGTTCTGGGCTTCGGCGTGACTCCATCAGGCAAATCAAGGGAACCTAGACCCAGGACCCCATTAGTATGCTAATAAAGTCACTTCTCTAATGGCTGATTAGCAATTCAGCGGATTTGTCCTCGCTCCGCTCGTACACACAGATCGGGGGACGGTCCTCCTAGCACGCGCACACGCGCCGCTATTAGCGCGCACATTTATTCTTTAAATGCTTCTCATCGCCGCCAATTTATTTATGACCCTCCCTCCTTTCTGCGGTTGTCCATCTTGTCAACACTTACCTAGTGCATATAAAATAGGATTCCATGGAGGGAAATGTGGTGTGTGGAATATGAATCTGTTTCTCTTTGTCCCGCCTGTGGAGCTCAAGTCCCTGCTTGTCTGTGCCAGTTTGACCTGCGTCGCACCCGTTGAAACAGCGGCTCCATCACAGGGTTGGAGGCGTAAGAGGTGCTGACACGGCTTGTCTAACTCTTGCTTCTCTGTCCTCCTCAGTGCTCAGCGGCCTCTGCTTCAATGACTGTCCAGAAGATGTCAAGGTATGGAATCTGTCTCTCTAGCTGTCCCCGTAGTCTCCGTTGTCCTTATCTTCCCATGCACACGTCTTTATGTTCCCTCCAGTTTTTAATCCACCTTTTGCAGCAGGAACAGAAAGACATGAGCTGGAATATCCTGACTGCTGGCCAAACGTCTTGTTTATAGGGAGGATGAACTGAAATTAGGGAAGGGGGGTTTGACTTGGTGATTCGTTTTTGAGCTCTGAGGCCGAATGAGTGCCTGTCCTGAAGTGCAGCTGGGAACAAAATGAAAAGCTTGATTGTCTTGACCTGTCTTTTTTTTTTCAAATGAAGATAAACAACAGACCTTCCAAATACAAGTCAGTGGCACGAGCTTACTGTATTGAATCTTTTGCACTGACCTATCGCCTTTTCCCAATAACATAGGATTCTTGTTTTTAACAAGGGCAAAATAATTTTTTCCAGCTCCTGTCCTTCACAAATACATTTTTGACGTTAGCTGCGTGTTGTCTCTCAAGGGTACTTTGACTGCAGGAAAAAGGATCGATTGCAGGTGTCGTCTGACTGAAGATCACACTCGGTACTTCTGCACATCCGTTGATACCGTATAAGGGTTTGAGAAAAGATACCCAGCCCTACCGAAGCTGGGCTGCATCGAACGTGCATCTGTGACTGCAGGCCGTGGTGGGTGGGCGGTTGCATTACATTGTTGGACCCCCCCCTGACAGACAACCTGCGTCCGCCTAAAGGGGTGTGTAAGGTTTTGGGCCGTGATGCAGTTAGAGTTAAATGTAACCATCGATTTGTGGAGCAGTTGAGCTTCCAGCCCTTTTGCATTCATCCCACAGAGCCGGTGTCATGACGATCGCGTGTAGGTGGGCAGAGAGATCGGACACAAATGCTGCAGCCAGTACCCCCTCTCCTCATGTAACCAGTGGGAAGCCCTTTGCAAAACACGTTGCTTGTTGACGGCAACAAGAGGCTGCTGGTATCGGCGTTGTTTTTGCTTTTCTGTCCGTCTGCTCTTCCACCTGCTTGTTGTCTAACTGAAAGGTACGATGAATGCATTAGACGAGCGGCGCTGGCGGCTGTTTCTCTTCCCCTCCTCTCCCGTCCATCACCCCACCTCTATGATTTTTTCCTTTCACTCTCCCGCTCCTCTTCTCCTCAGTCGCAGCCCTCGTCGTCTTTCTTTGAGTCCACCGATCTGCTCCGCTGTGGCTTTTCACATCACTCTCACTCTGTTTTTTCCTCATTCCCCTTCTTCCCTTCCTCACCTGACTGCCGAGTGTCGCAGCATCACGGTCCGGGTCTCTCTCTCGTGGCGGGTATGTTCAGGCGTGATCAGCCCAGGTAAACAGAGGGAGGGCTCGGCACAAATCTCGACATTCGCCAAGTCGCCCTGGTGAAAATAAAAGTGAAGAACGGCTAGGGTCACCGTGGTAACAACGAGCCTTTCCGCCCACTCTTTCTGTATTTCTCCTTCACTCCTCCTTCCTCGTTTCTCCTGTCTCCTTCTGCTGAGACTGACAGACGGTTGATGTGAAAAGATACTTGCCAAGTGTCACGTTCTGTGTGTTTCATGTTTTCGCAGCCGTTTGGTGTTAACCAGCCCGGCCCCTATGTCATGTACACCACTACGGACTCCAACGGCAACCTGAAGAACGCCTCGGGTAAGGACTTGATATTCATCATAACAAGGTACAGCTCCATAGCGCCCTCTACGCGGCGCCCGGTCGGCCCACAACGATGTCTCCGCCCTTTGGTTTTTGCCTGCGTTGGCTGCTGAAATTTGCCATGGAGGTTAAATGTGGGCTTGAAGCTGTTTGTTTGTGTTCATGCCAATCTGCAGAGAAGGGCTGCGGCTGTCACAGCTTTCTTTAGCAGGGCAGCAGCCTTCAGTTCTCTACGTGAAGCCTGTGCTGAAGCTTCTGAAACCTGCATTCTCTCTGTCTGTATAATAGTCTATGGGGAAACCACTCTACTTCTTACTTCATTCATTGACATAGTAATGTACAGACTCGTGCCGCACGCGGGAAATGATTCATTTAGTAAATGATGGCCCCATTTAGAGTAGAATGCACCATAGAGCTGAGGATGCTTTAGGGCGCCGCTACCTTGTGATTGACGAGTCGCCACCGCTTCCAGAGACGTATGCGGCGGCGCTACGTCACAGTCCAAATACTGTCACTACACCTGTTGCAGTGTTTTCCTGAGTGATACTTAAGCCACGGAGATTTTCGTGACTATCCACTTGAGTGACAGAGAAATTCCAGAGACTTTTATTTATCCAAACCTTTCACTGCCTGAGCCCATACGTCCACGTCAGATTTATTAATATCTGACTCACTCATCGATGACAGCTTTACTCAGTCTAGCTGAACACTGTTTTCAAGGCTTTTCATCAAACAGAGAATGAGAAGAAGAGGGACATATTGATTTTACTTGCCTGTTGTCTTTTTTTTATCATTATGAGAAAATCGGCCCGAAGCCTCAAAGGCTGAAGCAATAAGGGCCGCTAAAGAAAAGACTGTTGTAACTGAAGAAGAGTGAATGAGTGTTGTAGCAGTAGTTCACTCCACCTCTGTATAAATGCCGTTCTCACCCACGTTTGTACTTTGTAAAAGGCTGTAACACGTATCGTTAAAGGAAAATAACTCCATACAACTTTTGATCAGTCAGACTCGTTTTTGAAAGATGAGGCCAAGTTCTCCAGCACTGTCAGTCCGATATTTATACCGGAACGAATGCGGCCGCACTCTTTCTGGGTTACAGTATTCTCAAAATGTCTGCATGACTCTGGAAGAAAAATAGTGGGAAGACTACAAAAAGCTGTCAGCCTTTACTCCCAAATTCCTCCAACAGCGAAGCAACATCGACCATCTGTTCTCCTTTTTATGAAGGTCCGCGGTATATGTACACTCGATGTTTATTTCTTTGAACAAAGATCTGTAGGCAAGCAGGATCATCCCGAATGGAATCAGTTAGGAGACGCCGATCGAGAGTGTTGGAAGAGTATTTCTATTGACATCTGCGTGTTTTTTTCATTTATTTTCAATGTCAAACCGCTCCTTCACATATTCTCGAAGGGCTACTCCCCTCTGTTAATGTAAGCAGGCCTGTCAACATCTGGCTGTGTCCTGTGCTGGTATACACAAGGCACCACGCCAGGGTTTTGTTCACAAATCCCCACCCTTTACATGAATAATGACAAGCATTTCCTTAATGTCAGGGTTCCCAGCCGTATTGATTGCGGCGCCGTAATTCGTAGCGTCACGCGGTCTCCATAGGAGGACAGATTCTTGCAATCCTGGAGCTGATGATCACTGCGCTACTCAGTGTGCATCAGCCTAACAAGGGCAGAGAGCGATGCATAAACAGAGAGAGGAATAGATGCGTGGAAAGATGAGACGAGACATTGAGGACAGGGATGTTGTGCCGAATTAACCAAAGTGAAGCTAATTGACGCTACATTGTGTGCAGAGCTGCATGAGGACAAGATGCACTGACAGCCCGGGGTCAGGGATATGTATAAAGTGTGTGTGTGTGTGTGCAGCATAATCCCACTTTGTCAGAATTCACTCTTTCATTTATCTATTGGCACAACTGGCGTCCATACGTTTCCAAAGAGCGTCGACAGATCACAGTCCAGCTTCACTGTCATTCCACCGCCATTAAACGACTGTCGGCTCACGGCGACAAAAACACTGTTGAAATGAATCTTCTAATCGGCGCAGACTTTTCTGCTCTGGCTGCGCGCCCAAAAGCGGATAAAATATTAACACGAGCCGACCTGTATGTAGTTGTCTCGCAGCGTATCGAGGCACACAGCTTCATCACACACACTCTGCTGGTTTAAAGTATGCTGCCAAATGGGCGTAGAGAGAAGGAGTGGAGAGGCGGGGGGTGCACTTTGGGGGGAGCTTTCACCACCTGCACCCACGCCCACTGCAGAGAAGATGGAGAGTCATGCAGAACCACACTGGATGCGGAGGCGATTTTTGGAATCCTAGTAAAGTGAGATGCGGAAAAAGATCCGGTGATATTTGGGTGTTTTGAGTTTTCTTTGGGATCAACAAGAGGAATTTATAATAAGCTGAAACTTTGCCACTTTTAGAAAGGAAGTTAACACTTGTTTTCCAGCCCACCATGATCAAAAGTATGTGGACACTTTTTTGGTAATACACAAGATTTGAGCAAATCCTATCTGAGGTTTTCCTTGCAGTCTTGTAGCCAGCGTTCTAACCTCATTCCATATGTGTGGCATGTCTGAGGTCAGGGCCCGTTCAGGCCAGTCGAGGATTTTCCTTTCGGTTCCCTGTAGGTCATCGTAAGTGACATCGTAACATAAGATGTAACTTGCCTGTACAGTTGGAAACTCCTCTGCTGCTGTGAAACTTATTGGGGTTAAAAAAGAGCAGCAACATAGAATCGTGTCCGAGCCGACTCAGAGGTCAAAGGTCTGCGTCTAAAGGCCTTTATTGACCAGGAGTGTGATGAATAAACACTAGAATAATGCGAGCATGAGAGCACTCGTTCACTGAGAGAGCAGCGTTGAAGGAGAACGCTTGTATGAGACAATGATTTTTGTATCATCGTCTGGAATTCAGAAAGGTAAAAACGAAGCTCTGGCACCCGCTGCCTTTGTCATGTTTTCAAATGTGACTTATTGGTTGGCGAGCACTGATATCTCCTGAAATATTCTGTTGTGGTTTCAGCCCCATGTGAAGAACTTGTGTTTATGTTTTCAATATTGCCGTTCCACACAACGTAACCGGTTAATGCGAAAGCTAAACAAACAAAAAAACAAAAAAATGACTGTGTAAAAGTACTGAGTACAAATTCAATAGTTTTGAAAATTATACCGAGCTGCAAGTGAACAAGGAGAACAAAAGAATGTTTTTTCCCCCGGGGAGGATTCAGGCTCCCCCAGAACAGGCTGAACTGCTGTAAACATTCACTCCTTCCATTTGTTCATTAAGATTCTTAACTCTAGCAGGTCGGGTAGGATCTTGTCAGAAGGAGTCCAGCTCTCCGTACCGGGACAATTCAAATGTCTCATCTATCCGATAGCAGTGAATCAAATGCTAAAAACAACAGCAATATGACGGTGTGAACGTGCTGGCTGACGAAGCTACAAAGAATGAAACAGACTGTGGATGTGAAACTCTAGGAAAACAAATTACTGGCAACGACATAGTCGAATTCTTCAGGTGAGACTGGTTCGACTCCTCATTCCACTTTGGAGCAGGTCATTCCTGTTCAATGTAACTCAAAGACGCCACACACAAAGATTTTTAAGTATTCTATTTTTTTGTTCCCTTCACGTGAGAAGAACAGATGTTCTTGACATTTTCCCAGCATCTCCCAGCGTCTGCCTCTGCAGACAGTTCCTTTATGTTCCCGGTGTTCAGAAAGCAGAATCCTATTTATTTAACCATAGAATATCTCGGCTTACTCCAAGTTGCCCAGCACAACTTTGGCTTATGTGATCCACTCTGTGTTTGACTGGAGTGCACAGAGCGAGGAGGTGTAGCCACGAGCTTCGCCGGCAACGCTCCCCAGACCCCTCATTTAACAGCAGCAAAGTGCTACGGGGGCCGCCTGCGCGCACGCGCGCGCGTGTCTGCACCGCGCTGTGATTTAAAGTGTATTTATTCTGTAGCTCGGGGAACAGCCAGCGAGGCTGCCAGAGATGAGCAATGATGGCAGTACGTACGCACACACAATGTCTGGGCCTCTCCACTGGGGCCCGACGATCTTCACTTACCCTTCACCCTCCTGAAAGGGAGAGCGCGCAGAGAGAAGAGGAGACAGAGATTATGATATGCTGAGAGATGGAGACCAGGGGCCCGAGAAGCCACAGCATCATGGATGAAATAACTGCAGAACAAGAGGAAGGGAAGAAGGATGGAAGTGGGTCAGAGGGACGTCAGAGTCTGCAGAGAGGAGACGGGACAGAAGTAGAGCATTCTTAGTCCGGTGAGATACCTGAGAAGACCATGCCAGCGCGCGCGCACACACACACACACACACACACACACACACACACACACACACACACACACACACACGTGCCTATAGTTCATGCTGTATAAATGTCCCGCATGCTGTGATAATACCACCCTCTCATCTGGAAAGGTGAATAGCGGCGCTGGCGAGATTTCATTCTACCCACTTTTCTGTGGGCGAAGGTTACCCGTACTATATGCACGCACTGTGTGCGTCCATGTGGTTCTCAGGCTGGCACGTAATCTTCAGTCAGTAGCCATATGCGGGTGTCTGCACGTGGGTGCGCGTGCATTCCCTGACATCTGTTTTTTTTTACCTTGTGAACGCGTGCGCGGCTGTGGACCCGGCAGGCAGCGGTGTGCCGTGCCCCTCACTAAGCAGGCTGGATGGATGAGTATTGGCTGTGACTCTGACAACGGCACACCTCATTATCAAGTACCTCCTGCTGAGAAGGGGGGCGGGGGGGGCATGTGTGGTGGGGATGAATAGTTGTTCATTAACAACCTTTTTATCTTCTGCCCGTGGACACTGAACAGGTAAAAAACAAAAACCTGTGTGGCGTCGGCCTCAGGGTTCCACGTCGCACCGTGTTTCATTAGTCGAGAGGGGGGGTGCTGCACCATTCAGGGTGTGTTGTGTGATTGAATCACAGTAGGCGAGC